AGTCTGCCTGAATGGTGACCCTTGGGAGCTACAGTGGGGAGAACAGCGGTTCCGACATGGTGGGGGGGGGAAAGGCGAGGGACATAAAGATGAAAGATGAAAGAGATATATATGAGAAAAGTGGAGGAATAAAAGAGAGGGAGCAGGGTGGGCAGATTTTTAGGTGGAGAGGGGGTGGATTGGAGAATGAGGGAGGGTGCTGGATCTCAGTGGAGGGTGTGCTCTCTCAGAGGAAGCAGTGTGGAACCACCCAGGGCCTTGTTATAGTTAAATCATATCAATTAACCAGAGGACATCAGGGGATTAGGGGTTAATCTCTCCCCTGAGAGAGAGAGAAACAGTAAATTAGAGAGGAAAGAAAGGGGAGAAAGGAGGAGATCACAGACGGCTGTGGTAAAAGCAGATATCTGACATGATGAATTATACAGCATAAAAAACATGTTTCAGACAAAATAAAGAAATTCTCCTCTTGTTCGCTCAAGTTATTAACAATGATGAGATAAATAACTATACCCCAAACGAGCAGTGGAGTTCTGATTTGCATTTCGCTATCAGCTGCGCTGGGACCAGAAGTGGTATTTAGGGATTAAAAACAACACAAAACAGGAGATAATCCCACAGCTCGACCACACCCGCATGGGAACTGACTTACGCCATTTTCAATTTGGATAAGGGCTTGAAAGAAGAAAAAGGGGTACGAATAATTTATGCCTGGCCCCCACAGCCTCATTGCCTCCCATAAAAAAATGTCCCCCTCCGATTGGAAATGAAATAAAATATATTAAGAGATGATATATGTGGCAGAGGTTTGGGAGATCTATATTTGGGGGGATTGGGGGTCTGAGCTTTGGGGGTTTGAAAAAGAGGAGAGGAGGCCCTCTTTCTTTGGTGTGTATGCAAAAATGGCTGAAGTGGGTAATGGAGCCACGAGGTAAGAGGATTAAGATCAGCATTGGGTCAGGACTGATAGTGAGGAGTGGGGTGATGGAGTGACAAAAGGATGAGTAGAAGAGAAAAGAAAGGGGGAAAGATGGAAAAAAGACTTTTAGAAAATTAAACAAAGATTGGTGATATGGGGTAAAAAGAAATGAAACAGAGACCTAGGAAATGGTTTTCGCTCTCTTTTAGTTCCTGAACACTCTGCTTCGGACACCAAAGCGATCATATAGGATCTGTGAATCCCTTTGATAGGGAGCAGCGGGATAATTCTTAACCTCATACTTGGATTGTCTGAGCAGGCAGTGGGAGGGTTGAAGGTATTTCCACCGCCAAGGGAAGAGCTTGAAGGCAGCAGGACGGTATGAGCGGGCTGGGGGTATGACTGACGAGTGCTCAGGAAGCTGGAAATCTGCAGTATTGTGTATTGAAAGGTGAAAGAGGAGGATGAAGGGCTTTACAGTGAGAAGTGAAGCTGAAATATAACTTTCACAAATGACTCGATATCCAGATACATCATTTCATTCCAGTGGACAATAACAGACTCAAATTCTGGATCTCACCTGACTTCTGAAGAAACTGTCCCCCTGCTTTGAAAATGATTTGCCTTTTTTTGCTGAGGGTTTAAAGAAAAGATTGATACCACAGTCTGGCTGTTTAATATGAAGCCACAGAGACGGATGATTAGCTTAGCTCAGCATAAAGGCTGAAGTCAGCCAAGGACCCAAGCCAAGAAGTGACAAAACCGGTCTATGAGCAACTCTAAAGCACAATATTGAACACATACCAAAAAGAAGTGCCAGAAGGTGGGTCAAAGACGTAACTGTGCCTAGCAATGTTTGTGCTCTATGTCGTGTCCTGCTGTAATTCGTCAACTCATTTTTACAGTCCAGTTCTGTAAAAATTACGTTAAAGAGATGTTTTTGATATGCTTCCAAACACATATCTTTAATTAAAGTATATGAAATAAAATAGAAATTCAAAGCACTATGCAAGGAAACAGCTCTTGTTTGCACAAATCACAGTAAAAGAGTTTAATAAGGGAAAAAGAGAAGCAGGTAGGTGTTTTTTTTTTAACCTTGTACAGGCCCAGACTAGTCGTTCCTCCTCTGTGAGACACATTGCCAAGTTATGTATTTACTATGCCCCATGTTATATATGAAAAGTGATATGATATGACACGATACGATGAATGATAGGATATGATAGGGTGACCATGTTCTGTGTCCCCAAAAAGAGGACATGACTACGTGGGGGAGGAGTCACAGAGTCGCACACAGTTAATTTTGAGAGTTTTTTGGGTCAGATCAAGTGTTTTTTACGAGCTTTTAACTCAGTAAGTCCACGCGATACAAACTTGGAACTTACGTACAAAACCCTGGACATTTGAAGGATTTTATCGACTCCCCCAGACAAAGCTGGACAGCCCCCCCAAAAAGAGGACATGTCCGAGTAAAAGAGGATGTATAGTCACCCCAGGATATGATTTTGATCAAAGGTTGTAGTTAGTAGAAACAACCCAATTTAGCTCATTTACAAACAGTTTTAAGCACTCCTATACAAGAAATATCTGTGCTTTAAGATCAAGAACTGCATCAGAACTTTTCTGGAGGAGGTAAAATGATGTCAGAAGTTGACAAACTTTTCCCACATAAGTATCTGCCTGAAAACCAGTCTGTAGGAGCTGAGGAGTCTCATCTAAATGTTCCCCTGACTTTGCTTTAGCCAATTAGCTGCCATCACAGGATCAGACTCAACTCTTATTTGCCAGCCAAAGAGGCTCAGCTGCTCGACCCCGGCCGTAGCCTCATGGAGCCACATTGCCTCCTCACACCCCTCCTTCCCGCAGTCACCCAACCCCAAGTCTTAATTCAGACACTTTGAAGTATCTTGGTCTGTGGTGAGGAGCCACTCAATCAATTACGAATGAAATAATCTCCTTATGATATTTCGAGGTTTCCTCCAGTAGAGGAGGGGGCAATGCAAGACGAGATTATGGAAGCCAAATCAGTCTCTCAGCTGCGTCTAAAGTGACAGCGGGAGAATCAGCTGAGAGGATGGTGGGAAATTAAATAAGAAAAAAAAGATTATGTCTAAGTGTGTCACCTCCGAACACTGCTGTGAAATCTCTAACCTGATCCATGAGGAGGTGGTGGCGGAGTGGGGGAGCGGGAATGGATTATTGCAAGCTGCGTTAAATAAGGACCCATGGTTGCTTAAAAAGCTTTTGCTTACTGCTTGAGAGAGCACACACATATCAAAGACGCATCGATGTGATGTATCTATTGGAAAAACAAAGACAAAAAAAAAAAGTAACATATCAACTTACCAGAATCTGACTTTATCTAAATAACACAAAGATTCGCAATATGTAAGATACTCACACGTGTGCAACATCAGTGGTGATCATGCTTGTAGGAGACAGGCAGACCAGAACGTAAAGTGATCCTTGTTAATGTGGGAATCTAAACCAGATGATTGTAAGATGTACAGAGTGAAAAGATTAAACTAAGACTTTTCACGCCTTAAAGAAAATTTGTTTGAGTTTCCCCACACCTTCCACTTGAAACAACACCCAAATAAAAGGAGTTGTGCTTGTTTGATGTAGAGTTGTCTGCTTTTACTGTTATCATGTTTGTTAGGTAAGTACAACCACATAAACTGCTTCAAAAACTTTTATATTAATATATTTAAAAAATATAATATTTTTCAAAGTTTGATCAGATGAAGATGAGGAACTTATCACAAAAGAAGGGGCTAGACGGTTTGATTTGTGTCTCATGTATATTTTGATATTACTCACTAGAGCTGGGCGATATGGGAAAAAGTTTATCATGATATATTTTTTTCATATCAATTGATATCGATAAATATCACGATATGAAAAAAAATCACTTGTCAATCTTAAATGTTCCCTGATACTTTTAAACAAAATTTAACTGTGCTCATTGGTAGCATGTCTTTTGCAATACAATACCCCACTACATCCGTGAGGTCTTTGTGTTTCTTCGACGTTTTGTCACAAGGCGTTGCGCTAGAGAAAGCGAGCTGAATGATCGGTTCAGTGCTGCACAGACCTGGAGCAACTCCTCTTTTCATTGGCTATTCATATAGTCTACCAAAATATGGCAGAATGGTGACTATCGAAAAGCATATTGACCGTGTTTCATTAATTGAGGGAAATTAATTTTTGATATCATTATTGTTTTATCGCCTAGCCCTATTACTCACTCTGTTTTTATTGTCACAGTTTTGTCATTGACTCTAATAGAGTAATGTTTTTTTTATCTGTGGTTCTGGCTCTGTCCATGTAATGTGATGCAGGTCTCACACAGGCTGACCTGCAGCTTGAAACGCTGCACATAATCAGATGTACATGAATGTTATGCCTTTAAATCACAGTAGAGAGTCTAGGAAAGACTCACAAGCACCTTAATGCTTAAACAAGACAACGTGACAGTTCTGGAAATACGTTATGTCGTGGAAGTCAGCTAGACCTCCATAGTGCCTCCCCCGTCTTCTCCCCTCTCTTCCTCATCAGTGTTTCTCCCACCTCTTGCCTCCAGCTCTTTTGATTTTCTCTGTGGCTGACTGTTGTTTCTGCTGCTGCAAGCTCAGCCATCACTGCGCATTGATCGCTCCCCTTCATCCTCAGCGTCCCCTCCGTTATACCTGACTATGGCGACTAATTCTCCCGTTCTCACCCTTCTTCATCCCAGATTGAGAGGGTCGGAGGAAAAAATCAATAACTGAGCCAAGTGGGGCGGGGTCAGGGGTCAACGAGGTCCTTGACAAGGGTGTCAGGGGAAGGAAGGAGTAAGAGAGGGGGAAAAGTGCTTGTCTGTGTGTGTTTGCGTGTGTGCGAGTAACGAGTGTGTGTGGCGTGAGGAGTGGTCAAGAGAAACAGAGTGACCAAAGGCCTCATGGGTGTAGGTGTCAGGCTTGTCAGGGATCAAATTTATGACCATTGATCGAAGCTCTGCGTGTGTGTGTGTGTGTGTGTGTGTGTGTGTGTGTGTGTGTGTGTGTGTGTGTGTGTGTGTGTGTGTGTGTGTGTGTGTGAGAGAGAGAGAGAGTGATGAATGTGTGTTTGTTGGGATCATAGTGGTACCTGACAGAGGTGAGGAGTCATCATATAAAGCCCATTATGGCCAAATGAGCCACTGAAACAAATGAATCCCATGAGATGTCAGAGTAAAGACCCTGCCATTCATGTATCTGTCAGTCCAATAATTTACACCAAAATTACACAAAAAGTTGAGCCTTTCAAACATCAACAAATACTGTCTTTGTTTTTTTTAAAGGTTTGTTGATGTGAATCAGAGTACAGGTACTAATCCTATAGTTGTTTAGCTAATATACAGCTGTTGGGTTTAGCAGTGACTGTCAATGGGGGGAAACAGCAAATCTAGAGCTGTGTAAATGTAACTGAAAGGTCACAACTCTCTGACCTCACCACTATCGTGGGCTTTAAATACGACAATAACAACACATTTTGTCATTCATTTCTGATGTTTTAAGTTTAAGAAGTCTGTGACAGAAACTTTTTTGGAGAAGATATTTTCTCATAGACCAATTATTTCTGGTGCTTTTATTTTGATATTTTCACTGGTTTACATGTATGTGGCTTTTTATCCTGTATTGTTCCTTTATTGTATTATTGTAAATGTGCTTTTATTTTGTTGTTTTAGACAAAGGTAGGCTAGCTAATGTTGCCATACTTTGCACTGAGATCCACTAACTGTCAGAATTTATCTGTGTATTAAACAGAAACAGCTCGGGGTGTGGGTGGGGGTGGGGTATCAATCTTCTCATCTTACTTTCAGTGAGAAGTTGAGGACGTATATCAACAGGAATTAAGGGTTAAGACAGAGACTGAAAATAATCTGACATCCAGCAGCGTCCAAGTGTCCTAAAGTGCAGTTCTAATGTATTCAAAATGAAATACCGGGGCAGTTACAGCTTTACCAGAAGCTCATCTTTCATAATGTCAATCTCGTTAGTTCCCCACTGTTTTCACTCCACATCAGTAAACGTTCACTGTGATCTTCCTAGCAACACATAATCACAGGCTTTTACTGCACAGAAATTAGCTCACACTGCTCCCAGGGGAGTGTGTGTGTGTGTGTGTGTGTGTGTGTGTGTGTGTGTGTGTGTGTGTGACTTGATGGCAGCCATTTAGTGACTGACACCAACCCTCTGATAAAGGTAATCACGCCTGTTGTTCGCTCTACATTGCTGTGACTTTAAGTGTACGCTACATGGTCTCAAATATATAAATGAGAGCCAATGAAGGCATTATGTTGAGTATACTGTAGAGGCATATACACACACACCTCTACTGTACATCCAGGCCACACACACGTGCAATGGAAATAGGAATGGAAGATGAAGCCTCATAGAAATCCATTTGCAATTTAAATGGAAATGTAATGAGCCCGTGGTGGCAGTGAATTAGCCAGCTGATCAATTGATCATGTCAAGGACAAATAGGTAAACAAACGTATCCATTAGCCTCCTGCTCCACCTCCTCCTCCTCCCTCTACACCCTGCAAGGAGAAGTGCTGTGTGTCTGTGTGTGTGTGTATGTATGAGTGTATCTCAGTGTGGGATGAGTTAAAGGGGGTGACAACAAATAAGGCCCGATGTATGTTTTCATGTGGAGAATCCTTAAAGAGCCACTAAATGCTCACAGCAAACACACATACACAAGTGTAAACATGCTGACTCTCTCAATGGTAACACCCCACTGTGACTGTCCTGCCCTGCTCGTTACACAGACAGTTGGGCTCAGCAGGTTCCTTTCAGAGGCGATGGAGGGAGAAAAGGAGGAGGAGGAGGAGGAGGAGGAGGAGTAAGCAACACTACACGTGAGATTCACAGACAGAAGGAAACAAAGCAGAGAAAACAAGTATAGACCACCAGAAAACAGCAGACCAAAACCTGACCTGCTGCTTACTGTTATGTGTTCAGGGAAAGTTTGAAATTAAAATCAAAACTGTGTTTGTACTGTTTCTGATCAGTTGTAAAGACTTTTCTTTAATTTCTTGGTGATTGAACCATGAGTAAACTGAAACATTGATATTCCATAAATCATTTCAGTCCGATCAGTCACAGCGGTTTGCATCTTTAAAGCCTCAATCACCACTGCTAACACATCTTAATAAGAAACTGATGAAGAGCTTCTTTTGTTTAAAATGCCTATCAGGGTAACTTGATTACTGCCAACAATCACAGGGAGATGCTTTGTTTCATGGAGGGTGTTGAACTTCCTCATTGCCTCTTTACACTTGTCACATAGCTGCAATTCTCCCTGTAAAGTTTTGCTCTCATTGCACCAAATTCCTTTTAACCCATCAGTCCCAGCTGCTGTAAGAGAGAAAGACAATCTTCCTCATGTTATTTTTTAGTTATTAATGCAAGTTTAAAATTATAATGTTAAAAGTGTGAAATTATCAATCATCACAAACCATGCCTTAATCGCTAATATAAAACACATAAATACAGACAAAAGAAATTGTCTGTTTGTCTTTTTTATTTTAAATTGCTTTAATCTCTGTTTTCTTAAATTTCATCTGTAAAGTACTTTGAATTGCCTTGTATATAAATGTAGCTACACAAATAAACTTGACTTGCCTTATACAATTGGCTTTCTCATCACAGGTCAATATATATATACAAAAAGATATAAATATATATATACATTTTTTGTGTTCTTTTTGTTTTTTGTTTTGTTTTGCTCTGCTGGTTTGTCTCAACTCATCCCAATCTTTCTGTCTATCCCACACTCCAACTTCCATGTCAAGTCCAGCTGATGGCAGCTGGCTGTGCACCATGAGTCTTGTTCTGCTTAAGGTTTCTACCTGTTCAATCGTGGCTTGTTCTCGCCACTGTTCCGAAATGTTGCTGATGTGTTTGAAGATCACTTTTGTTTTGAATTAGCACTCTAAGACTCTTAAGACTAAATCCAATAGAGCTACAGTGCTAAAACATTTAGCTCCAAGTCCTCCACAAACATGCACGGCTTGAGCAGGACTGCAAATCTGGGGCCGAAGATCCGCTGATGAGTGTGTTGCCATGTTGGATGAGATGGGTCAAATCTTTCCCATTATACATCAAACAGTGAGTTTGGTATTTTGGAAAGTGTCTTGGGATAACAATTTTTGTGATTTGGGGCTGTACAGATAAAAATTGATTGATTGATGATATCATTACCTCCAGGGGGACTAAGCAGTATTTGCTCATATTCCCACAGGTGATTTTGCACCCCAGGATTGTGAGGCCCCGCTTTTATGGTCTGTGTTCACTCTGAAAGTCAAGATCAAGCAAGCTGTCCTCCCTGAGTTTTCCTCTGAACGCCTGAATTACTGTCTGATAGGTGGACTCCCTCAGTCCAACTCCCCACTTAATCCAGAGCAGGTAATGCCTGGGCTTGACTGGGAGCTTGACACCAGAAGTGAAAATCTGCTCAATTAAAAAAAACAAAAAACTGTAAGGGGCTGTTGCAGTTCAGTGGTGAAGTCAGCTGTTTCTCAAGCTTGAGAGTTGATCCAGGACCTGCTAGCCAGGTCCTTAGGCAAGATACTTAATCCACCCAGCCCCTGGTGCCGTGTCATTGGTGTGAGACTGGGATTAGTTTATACTGATGGATGCCTTACATAGCAGCTTCTGCCATCAGTGTAGTATGTGGTATGAATTGCGTGTAATGTAAAAGCACCACAAGGGGTCAGGAGACTAGAAAATGTGATACAGACAGCACATCTACATTTACTATTTAAAACCTTCAGTTTCTCAACAGGCCACCTGAGGCTAGCTCCAAATGAAAGTCAATCCCTCAGCGGAATTAAGCTAATGTGGAAATGCTATAAACTGCAGTTCCTCAAGTGTCCACCAGAGGCTGGCTCCAATGCGTGAGGAAGTCCCATGAGCGCCTGTGTTAAAATGCCAGTTTAACAGTGAAATCAAACATGTTTATTGCTTTTGTAAATTAAAAAGTAATATGGATCTGAATGGCTGATTTTCTTATACACACAATACAAGGGCTACAAGTTTCACACAAGTGGGTGCATTAGGGGTGTACCGGTTGAATGTTTATGTCTCCTAAGGACAAAGATTGTAAGTGATCAGCTTTAAACATTAATTTTTGTGTAAGAGATTTTTTTGCCTCACATATAGCCTCTATTCTGTTTAAAGACAGAGGAGGAGGAGTAAAAGGAGATGTCAGCCAGAGCGTTCCTGTCAGGAGTTATTTCATGCAGGCTGCATGTTCAGCCAACAGAAAAAAGTGCCTTCATCTCCACTTCCAACACAGGAGAAGATATTACCCTTAGCTTATGAGGGCAAGGACAGATGGAAAGGCATTTGGAGTATTGTAATATCCTATACCATGTTTCTTCCTGTGTGAATGTCTATTTTGGTAACACTCCAGGAAAAACACCATCACTTCTGATAATAGGAATTTTGTTGCGCCCTATGATATAGTACAGTATTCCTGTGTATTAAATGCCATATTTTCACATTAAGTGTGAATGTTATAAATATAGATTGTAAGAATACTGGAAACCAAACCTGGAAACAAAAAATAAAAAACTGCTGATGAGGAAACAGCAGGTTATTACAAGATGAATAGAGGGGGGAAAGAGCCAGACAAAAAAGAAAGAGCTTTTTAAAGAGGACCATTTGTAAAACAAGGAGTTTAAAGCCAGATTATAGGGCAACAATGACACAATCCCTTATGTTCATTCCTGTAATACGCTGTGAAGAGGAGGATTTATACTTTATTGTGGTGGAATGCATCCAGGCTGCATTCCTTGTGTCTGCCTCGCCGTCTGCCTGCCTCTTTAGGAAACATTTTCCTCCTCCTGAGGCCAGGTGTAATCCCTGCATGGAGGAAGAGGAGAGAGATGCCTTCAGCTAGCTGCTGATCAGCCTTATAATGGTTCAAGTATTACCAGTAATACCACCAGAGGGGAAATTCCTTCAATCCAGTCTAAAGCTCTCTGAGAACTACGTCGGGTTTGGGTGGCTGGTTGGTGGATTTCTCCCCTGCTGCTCAGCTCGTCTTCTGGTCTGAGTTGGATTGCATTGGATTGTCTTAATTGTCTCTAATGACTAAATTGTCCCAACTATGTGCTTCATTAACTCCCTGTTAGCTCTATTAGGGAGGAACGGAGCCGAGGAGGAGACGGTAATTGAGAGCGTTAATGAAGGCAACATGATGAGTGCTGGTCTGAAAGTTAAGGTAAACAAAAACGCAGATTAATGTGGTGTCTTATTCTGAAAGGGCCGCTGATATATTACATTGAAAAGATAACAGAAAGTTCAAAAGAAAAGTCATTTCCAGTGTAAATCTTACAGGTAATTGTCATCTTACACATGCTTAAGCATCTAATTTAAACTCTGATGTCATTATTTACCCATAATGCCTCAGGTTTCACCCTGTCAGCACCTATCCTTTAGAGCTCAGACTAAAACCATCAGACTGAACCTCTCAGTCTGTTAGAGCAGCTCAAGATTAGAGTCTGATGGTCCTCTCTGCAGCAGATACTGAGGGATTTTCGGTGGTAAAGACAGATGTTTTAGAGGAAGTGAAAGGATTCTGGCTCCACTCGGGAGCTTTGGCTTTGTCAGCGCTGTTCAGATTTGGCCTTATAGGAACTACATTTCTTTAATTGGAATTTAGCAAATCAGAGCTTTACCAATATTGAACTTTCATGTTGTGCTGAATCTACCAACCCCAGCAGCTTTTCCTTGAACAACATCACCCTCTGTCCTAAAGATATGGATCTAACCAAAATGTATATTAGCAGAAGCAAATCACTGGAATAGTGATGTTTTTCCTCTATTCTTAAAGGTTTTATTTTAGGGTCTTTTGGCCTTTATTGACAGAGGACAGGACAGAGCGGGAAACAGCAAAGAGAGTGAGCAGGGAGTGACATGCAGGAAACAGGCCTGAGGGTGGAATTATGTGGAGCGCGTTAAGACCACTAAACCCCCTGATCTTCGTCTTAATGCTACTTTTCTTTGTTCAAGACAACTTCTGGCAAGATACTCAGTGATTAGATTATATCATGATTTGTAGCTACAAACAAATTGTTAAACATAAATGAAAAAAACTTGATAAAGTCTAAAGTATGACTGTAAGATAGCTTAGAAAAGGTGACCAGATATACAAGTTTGACATTACGCCTGGCTGACACTTTCACAAAATGTGCTCTATCCCAATAAACATTTGAATAATGTAAATATGCACCCAGTTTGACTCTTTTTGTAGAAATATTTTCACACTGCATAAACGTTGATTCCTGTTCATAGAAAATGAGTTCCTTTACGCTGCAAAGCCCTGGTTGTGGAGTTTATCCACTTAAAACAATACCTAAACAGATACTATGTACTTTTATTTTGCTAATCCTGCTCCAGTATCAGCCATGAGTACAAAATGTCATGTAAAAGGAAATTTATCTATCTATCTAACCCAGTGATAATCTCATTTATCAATGAAGGCTTTAAAGGAGAGTGTGAGTATTTCAAAATCTGTAAAAAAAAAAAAAAAAACTCTTATAAGTCCTTCAATTGTAAATGTTACCAGTAGTCCTGAAAATTTGTTTATTCATATTTGGTCATATTTGTTTGCCTGTCATCTAATTACTTCATATTAAGAGTTTATTTCAAAGTTGACCCCTCAGTCTACCTGTCCTCACTCATACATATGTTTGTAGAATTTACCCGCTGAATAAATTTTGTATTTTGTATTCACTGATTTGACTGATTTTTTTTTTTTTTTACAACCCCAGGAGACACAGGAGAGCTTTAATAGTCTCAGTGTAATTAAAGGACCCTTCTGCTGCTTTATCTTTGTTGAAGGAGCAATATCTGGACAGTCAACAGCTTATTTGTACTTTTACAAAACTTACTTTCTGATCCAAAAGAAAACACTGTTTCTGTTTCGATATGTTAGTTAATATGGTCATAAACAAATACCGATACACAACTGAACCATCTTCAAACTTTTGTGACCTCGTTGCTTTTGAAACCCGCTCCATCCAAAAACAGATGAAGCTTTTCTTTATAAACAATGATCTTTAAAATAGTGAAAAGGGTCATAGTTCAGACAGCGTTTAGTTAACACATGTGAGAGTTCCTGCTGCAGGTAAAAGCTTGTCAGTTTAACTTTGCTCTCTTCAGAAACTTTGACCCTCCCTGTATGATCTGTGCGAGAGTTCAATCCTACAGTGTGAGATTTTTTTTCTCTTATTCTCTCTCTTCTTTTCTTTCTTATTCTCTCTTCTTCTCTGACACTCTCCAGTTTTTCCTCACTTTTTTCAACACATAGGTGGATTAAGGCAGAGGGGCTTTTGTTTAGATAAAGCGAAGGATTAGGGAGAGATTTGCCCCCATAAAGTTGTGGGCTTAATGGGCCTTTTATCCCTGCATGTCCCTAAAGCTGTGTTGCCTCTGGATTAGGACTACACAATGGGGCCCCTTGTGCAGAAGGATCCGGGCCAGGGAGAGCGAGAAAAAGGAGAGAAAGAGAGGAGAGAAGGCAAGGAAAAGAAATGAGACAGAGAGAGACTGAGACAAGGGAGAAAAGAGGGCAAGAAGAAAGAGAGGAGGGGATGGAGGGAGGGAGAAAGAGAGAGGGAATTATGCAGCTTCTTAGAGGAAACTGACAGGTTGAAAACTTTGAGAGGAGGGATTTACGGAGGAGATCCTGAGATCTTGTCACCAATAAAAAGGGATTTCATGAGGATTCAGAGGCGTGGTGCTGACAATAAACCGCAAAATTATTGCCTCCCTTTAAATTCATTTATCTTATACGGCCTCCTTTTAAAAATAAATAAATATGAGCAGGTCTTGCTGTGAAAGTGCTGCTAATAACGTGTCTAAGAGGTGGCTCCTGGCAAATTGCTTTGTTATTCTTGTCAAAAAGGGTCTCCTGCAAGAAGTCGATTTTAAACTACACATCAAAATGATTAATTGCTGTGGGATGAACAGATGCTGAAATACCCTTGAATGGAGGCGGGGAGGCTGAGGCCTGCTGGATTGTGGCTCTAATGTATTCATGAAGTTGCAGAAACATCATTAAGAGTATTAATTAGCTATTAGAGAGCAGAAATCACAGCATTAAAGATCTTTTTTTGGTTGTTTTGCTTTTATCAAATGCAGGCTGACACACATCAGGAGAAAGTTCACTCCATGTAGCCAATCTGTCTGAGTGTGGGAAAAATGTAAGAGAAAAGGGGTTAAACCTGACAGAAAATCAATTCAGAAACAGCAGACTATTTAAAGAGCTCACACATTTTCACTGCTTCAAAATCCACATGATGTAATGGTACTTTTGCCAAATTAACATTTTGAATGTTTGGTTGTTTGTCATGTGGAGGTCATTGTTCCTGCACCTTGTATTCATCATGCCTGGCCGGGTACAGGGGTAAGAGGACCCGTTTTTTTTGGCGTTTAAGCCCCTCAGACGCGCTGGACAGCTCTAGTCTCTCTAAGGAGCTTTAGGTGGAGAGGCGCTGAGAAGAAACTCTTTCTCGCTTTAATTGCTTTAGAGACGGTCCTCACAAAGAGACAGTGGCCAGATTTACCTCCCGTTTAAGTTCTTATTTCCATTGGTTCACAAGTTAATCCTCTTTCTTTCTCAGACCTCGCAGAAAGAAAAAAAAACGAGTGATAGGAGCAGAAACCAGAGTGGCGCACGAGTTTTTCCAGGAGAGAGAGAGAAAGGGAGAGAGAGAGAGGGAGAGAGAGAGAGAGAGAGAGAGAGAGGAAAAGTTTGAGATGCTGGTAGAGGGGTAATTAAGAAAGAGTGATGCAACAGGGAAATGATAATAAATGATAATGATTAAATTAATATTATCAATAATAATAATAATAATAATAGAGATCATTTTACATGACTTTCAATAATTCAATAATTGAAAATTGAATAGACCTACATCTTCAAAGGTAAATATATATAGATAGATTAATGGATTGATAGATTGATATAGATATAGATATAGATAGATATACATTTATACCAAAAAATAGGTAGTACTTCGAATTTGATCTCTTTTTTGGAGCATAAATAGATGGTTACACCAAAAGTTTCTGGCGTTTACAGTTTTTTTTTTAATCTCGAGAAGCACGAGTTCACCTGCACTAACCTCCCAACTCTGTCCGCTTTTTTTGCTCTTGCAGATAGATAGAAACAAACGGCACACTCACACAACAAATAAACGGACACACAGCTCTAAATGACGGAGGTCCACACTCCACTGACTGTGTGAAAACGGTGCAGTTGTGCGCAGCTGAGATTCACTGTGCGTCAAAACGAGTGGACAAAAATATTCACCCCATTTCACGAGATCCTTCGTCTCCTGTTGAAAAGTGTGAAACCTGGTCCGAGATAAAAGTGCGTCACAGGCCAAACACTTTCCAAAAGAGTCTCTGAACAAAATATGCAAGCTTTACATTAAAAGGCTACTTTGCGCTGCCCTTAATTCCCCACCTAAACGGTTTTTCTCCGGGAGAAGAAATCTGCTCTAAAAACCCTTCAAGAAGAGAAGGGCATTATTGCCCTAATCCTCTTACCCGCAGTCATTTTAAGACAGGGGTTTTTGGAGGCTGAGATGGCGTCTTGTCTTCCCTATCCCATCCCAAATCCTTCCAGGCCGGGAGAAAGTCTAAAGGCAGCACCCTGGCATCTATTAGCCATCTCTACAAAGTCTCTCCCTTTCTCTCGGTTTCCACCACGGCGTAGAGGGAAAGCTGAAAAGCAAACAAACTAAAGGTTGGTTCCCTTTTCCTCACAAAAAAGGAGAAGAAAAAGAAAAAAAACCGAGGGAAGGCAAACGGATTCAAGCTTTAAGTGCATTTTGAGAGTAAAAGCATCAAAGACTAGAAAGAAAAGAAAAAACATACCCATGAAACTGGATTAATCCGACGACGTTGAATGTTTTAATTGGCATATTAATGAATAATAAATATGAAACATCATTATAAAAGTGTCTTCTATACGAAAAAATGAAGGAAAATGACTTCAAAAACACTAAAAGTTCAAGTTAAAAGTGATATATTTGATCATAAATCTTTGCAAATGTTCAGTAATTTTCTTCTCTCTTAGACCCATCATATTTAACTTTGACCGAAAGGCTATCACAAAAATGTTCAGGCTATCAGACAAATCTGTAGTCTCTATATCTTCGCGAATGTTCAGATTTTCTTATAAATAAATGGAAAAACTGTGTCGACGGCTATACGGAGGGATTATGTGGACATAATGAGCTTAAATTGATCATATTTGACAATAACTCCAGGAGTCAGAGCGCCGGGGTCCACCGCTGGACGATCACTTAGCTCATTAATTTGACTGACAGCCTAAGCAGCCAATAGGAAGCCAGCATGACCCCCGCGAAGCTCCCTTTAAAATCCCTCCACTGGGGTCTCGCGCTCCAGCAGATGGCGGTTTCCCACTAGTGCGCGAGACACGAAGAACTGAGCACGAGAGGAGGGCAGGTGGAGCACGAGCGAGCGAGCGAGCGAGCGGACTTGAAGTAAAGCAACAGAGTGGATGAGGTTAAATTTACCTCGACTTCACAGCTCACTGTCGGACAAAAGAGGGAGAAGAAGCGGTTATCTGAATATTTATACAAACACAGAGACTGAAAGAGAGAGAGAGCAGCAGAAGTTTTACAGCTCGGATTCTCTGTGGAAGAATATCGAGGACACGGCTCACCGAAGAAAGGTAAAACTTTTAACCATCGTTATTTAAACCTGTATATGACTCGTTTTCAAAACATTGAACACTGAAATGCTTTTGAAAACTGGTTCGTGTATTTCAGCCTGTAGACTGATAGACATTTTAGCCTTTATCTAAGCGACACTTGATGAGTTAGTAAAGTAAACACAAGACTAGAATTATTTATCCTCACATTAAAATTGTCAGTGCACCCTTAATGACAGCTGAATAAAACCTTTAAAGGCTACTAAGTTTTATTGTAACTTGTAATGTGCAGCAAAAGCCCCAAATCTGAAAGACTTTTAAAAATGTGATAGCTGTGTATAAAAGTAACAATTAAGTTTCAAGCTTAGGTTTGTTTTGACGAGAATTACCCCAAAACTTGAGTTTTTCTGTACTTTAACGCACATGACTGTCTTCTGAAAAGGATCTTCTTAAAACATTCACACATATTTATAACTCCCCCCGTAAAATACGCTCATATAGGCACAAATATAGGCCTAAATTTTCTTGAAGTTGTTTCTCAAAATATTCCCATTTTCTTTTTTTTCGGTGGTTCTGATATGCATTATTTTCACAAAACACTACAAAATATTTAAAAAATATATAAATAGATTTTAATTTCAATGTCCTTCATGATAGCAGATGAGAGTAAAAACCTCAGAGCTGCCCCTCTCTCTCCCTCTCTCTCTATCTGACAGTTTACACTGTGACACAGCAAAGAGCAGACTGTCAGCTTGACTCATGCCCCTGGGGGCTGATAGCAAATAACATTTTTCCTCATTTAGCCGGATCAAAGAGTTGCACTGTACATGCCAATTTACATAATGACGGTTTGATAATCGAAGCATTGAGCAGGGCAGCCAGGAGGGCCCAGAGCCTGGAGCACAGAGAGGCTTATGAATGACAATAACTGCGCTGACAGGCTCACTGTGATGAGCTATTGTGCTGCATTTGATATGGGACGGAGGATACAGGCTAGAACCAGGGATGTGCACAAAAGGTGGGTAAAGCTGGTAATCACGGGGAGGCAGACTTGAGGACAAAAATGTACCTGCACTGAAAAAAACAAAACAAAACAAAAAAAATATATATATACAAATTCGATTTTTCTTTTACTGAAGAAAAGGCTAAAACCATTATTTATAAGCATTTAAACTGCTTAAACTTTCAGAAGTGCACATAAGCAGGTGAAACTCTATTTAGGCATTTTTCATGTTTTTTCTCTCCTTATAGGCCCACAGATTTGTGTGATTTGAGGCTTTGCCAAAATGCAAAATAATATATAAAAAAATATAATAATTATTTTAAAAAATAACATAAAATAAAAATACAGAGGTGACGTTAAGTTGTCTTCCGAGAAAAAAAAATAAACAAGGCAGCTGAGTAAATCGTATAGGTCTGTTATTAGCTCTCACACTTGGCCACGCGCTCACATGCACTCGCGGGAACTCCGACCCACAGCTAACCAGCCGGTTTCACTGTACGTCCGCCCGTGTCAGCGGTGATGATAAATGGAGGGCCTCGCAGTCGAAACCTATTTGCACTTCCATTAGACGGGGAGCCAAATGGGGATCAACATGCATATTTTTACCCGCGGAGAAGCCATACATCTCAGCCAAAACGTTGCCCCGGGGCGATGGGATAAGAGGCCGCCAGAGAGGGCGAGGGGAGGGGTGTTGAAGCAGGGTGGAGGAGGAGGAAGGGGGGGGGACCATTCAACTCAAATACTTGGGGGAGTAAAGTAAATGTTTAGCGAAGCACCTTCTGTCCCAGCGAATTAAACTATTCCCCACCGCTCTCTGATCACATTCATCAGCCGCCGTGGACTCTTAATAGCCTGGGAGTGGGCACTGCGGGCATCACACACATACACACACGCACGCACGACCACGCGCACAAACACGTACACACGTAGGCTGAGTCAAGTGCAGAGACACGAGAAACTGTTGTATGGAACAGTCTTATTAATGTACAAAATAGATCTACTACTGCCATTTATTATTATTATTATTATTATTATTATTATTATTATTATTATTATTATTATTATTATTATTATCTTTTGAATTTTAAAATTTAAATTAATTTTATTTTTTTTTTTATTTTTTAAAGCCCCAACTCATTTTAACCTAGGCCTCAGAACGAATATTTAATGCAGTTTTTTTTTCTGTCAGGAAAAAAAAAGACTTTAAAGTTACGCTCCTGGGAATGACAGTGCTCATTGACAATTGTTAATGGTAAAGGTTTTAAATGAACAAGCATAACTTTCAGATTTCATTCAACTAAAAATAATTCAAACTGTTAAAAAAAAATCCTATTTTTGACAAAAACAGATGCTATTTTTTTGTAATTGTTAAAATCTAGAGCATGTACAATAATGTGCCTCATAATTACAATCTTGTAAAACAACAATAGTTTAAGTGTAATACAAACCTGAAGATGTTTCTGAGCGCTGGTACACAGGTCCATGTAGATCCCTGGATAGTGTAGCTGTCATAAGCAGAAAGATTTATACCTCCTCCCCGTGGTCTCTCTGTAACAGTTATAATAACTGTTTGGGCCTCCGAGATATTCCCCCTTGTCTGCCTCCTCCATCTTAATACATATCTAATCGTGTCCTCCAGCACTTTATCTATGAAAATCGACGATTTGAAGCAGAAATACGACAAAGACTTGGTAAATAGCTGCCCATCCTAAAAAAATAGGGGGATTTTTTTACTGGAAAATATGAGCATCCTAAAAGATCATAAATAAATGTAAAGATGAGTGTAAAATGTTACAAAATTGAACGGCGTTTATTAATTCATTGATTCTACATTTCTATAATCACAGCCTATTAAAAATAATCCCGTCCAGACCTGAACAAATCTCCTTCTTTCATTTTCCAACACATTTGATCACCGGCCTGATCTGCCAGAGCAGCTTTTTCAGGAGGGATTTGACTTCTCCGGGATCACACAGACGTCGAGAATAAATTCATGAATAAAGCATCCGTCACGGTTCATTACGGGAGAGAGTCATAATTACCCCAATTAAAAGTCTTTTGTATAATTAATGGATTGAACAGGGCGATAATTGGATGTTAATGGATAACACTTTTGTCTGAGTGCGCACGTTTAAATCTTTTGGCCCCCGAGCGCGAGGACCTGATGCCATTGAAGCTCGAGCGTCTTTTAGCCTATCAGTGAACACAGACTCATACAATAATATTCCTGTTGTGAAAAAGTAGGGTTCGCCACCGCAGCACAGGCCCTTGCAGAGACATAATGTTGTATAATCTCTTCCTCTTTCAGATCATCATCATCCTCTCTTCGTCCGCAGGTTCTGACCTCCCACCATGCAGCACTACGGGGTGAACGGCTACTCTCTCCACGCCATGAACTCCCTCAGCGCCATGTACAACCTGCACCAGCAGGCCGCGCAACAGGCACAGCACGCGCCCGACTACCGGCCGTCTGTGCACGCGCTCACCCTGGCTGAGAGACTCGCTGGTAATTGAATGCACGCTCACAGACGCTGAATTAAGACAAAAAAATCTTGTAAAGTGAGTTGTTACGCTTGAGTCACGCGCAGTAAAATAAACCCTCCGTGTGTGTTTCCTTTTCCAAACGGCTGCGCATTTCAAGACATCATCCTCGAGGCTCGTTACGGCTCTCAGCACCGCAAACAGCGCCGCAGCCGCACCGCATTCACCGCACAGCAGCTGGAAGCGCTCGAGAAGACGTTCCAGAAGACTCACTACCCGGATGTGGTGATGAGGGAGCGGCTGGCCATGTGCACCAACCTGCCCGAGGCCCGCGTGCAGGTACGTGACGGCACTACAGTCAAAAAGCCACACAGTGATGAATAGAGAAATGAAAAATGTATTGGAAAAAGTGAGCTGCTAGGAACTTTTAATCGGTTAGTTATTGTTTTATTGCATCCTTGCTTAATTCTGGGTTTTAAGAGCTATTTGTCAAAGAAATGTGTAAACTTCTTGTCTGAAAGATGCTCTATAAGTAAAGTTGTTATCATTATATTGTCTAATCAAATTTTAAAAAATTAAATGGAGGACTGACAGTATCAGGAAGTCATGCTCTCTGTTTTTGGAATGAATTACTTTTTGTTGTTAAAAGTAAAATAGGAGAGAAAATGCTCAGGAAATTTTAATTTAAACCTGTACAATTAATAAATGTTATCTATCCAATTATTACATATGTAAAATATAATAAAAATAATTGAGAACTCTAATTGTTTTCTTTTAAAGCTTAACTTGATAATGTCATAATCTTTTGGGCAGGTATTTTATTTGTATACAATACTGACTCTTTGGGCTTTTGATACTTCACATCACTTGGAGACATCACTCGGTCATGATTTAGTACTTCCTTTTGTGCTCCTGTTCTGTCTTTAACTCTTCGTCACTCCTCACTCTTCAGGTTTGGTTCAAAAACCGCAGGGCCAAGTTCCGCAAGAAGCAGCGCAGCCTCCAGAAGGAGCAGCTCCAGAAGCAGAAAGAGGCAGCGGGTGAAGGAGGAGGAAGCGAGAAAGAGGACGCACCCGCCGCCACGACTATCATCCCTGACACCCAGCTCCCTCCTTCATCCTCGTCCTCTTCCTCCTCCTCACTGGAGATAGAGGGACCTGTAGTCCATCCTGTACCTCTGGATATGGAGCTGAATGTCACGTCAGCTGAGCACTCCGGCAGTGAGTCGGCAACAGAGGACAATGCCACAGACAAGGAGGATGAGAGTAAATGTCAGAGGGAGGACATGAAGTGTGAGAGGGCTGTGACACCAGGAGACGTCTCCCCGATCTGCAAAAGACTGAGCCCTAAACCAGGTAGGAACCAGACACAACTGTAATCCACAGAGTGAAAATAACTGTTGTTCTGATGCAGCATCCAACGCCATCATCAATTATCCCAAAAAATCCAACATGTCCACACCAAAAAGACCCTAAAGGGCTTTAAGAATAATGCACTGAGTTATTTACCACTGCAGCTTCCAACAATCAGTGTTTCCCTTTAGTGTGTTGTAAAGTTTTCCCTTTACTTTTGGTTTATTGTTCATCTATGGGTATCAGAGGGGTGTTTGATGCTGGCCAATACTTTACTGCGTAGTTGACAGAATTGGCGTTGAATTACTATGGAGGGTGTATGACTAAAGGGGACAATAGATAGAAATATGTAAGTAATGATTAAAAATATTTTTGAGAAGTTAAACAAAACAAAGTAGAAGCACAATAATGATTTTTTTTACTATCGTATTTATTATTAGTCATATCTGAACGCTACACACCCCTGTGTGATTTTATAATACCTACACAATTTTCAATACAACTTCATTAACCAGTGTATCTCTGTTCAGGGTGTAAACAGTGTTTATAGTTTTACGACTAATGTCCTTTATTTTAGATCTTGTTTTTTCAATTGCCATTTTTTAAAACCTATCTCCAATTGTGCTATTTGTTCTTAAGTCTGAATAACTTACGTTTCTCTTTTTGTGAGCTGACTATGAGTGAACGTCCTCTAAAGGGGATCAAGAAGAAATGTAATATCTAACAATATGTTACTGTAGAATCCATGATAGAAACAGTCTAAGGTTAAAACATTTCCCAAATTAAAATGAAAGGTCTGAATGTAAAGATAGGTCTCAAAAGTCCAGGGAGCATACTTGTCCTATGTCTATCCTCCATAGTGTAGATATGCTTCATGGTATCTCTTAGATATATGATATCCTGACATACATTTTCCTCTTTCTGTCCAGACTCCCCATTGGTCTCCCCCTCAGTGACCCCTTCCTCCTCCTCCAGCGGTGGCCTGACCAGCAGCGCTCCTCTCTCCCAGAGTCACTCGTACTCCTCCTCCCCCCTCAGCCTGTTTCGTCTGCAGGAGCAGTTTCGTCAGCACATGGCTGCCACCAACAACCTGGTGCACTACCCCGCCTTTGACCTCGCCACCCCATCTTCACTCCCCTACCTGGGCATGAACGTCAACATGCCTCCTGCACCGCTGGGCTCGCTGCCCTGCCAGTCCTACTACCAGTCCCTTTCCCATCATGCTCAGCAAGTGTGGAACAGCCCACTGCTGCAGGCGTCAGCTGCTGGTGGCCTCAGCAGTCACAACAACAAAACCACCAGCATAGAGAACCTGCGTCTGAGAGCCAAACAGCACGCTGCCTCGCTGGGACTGGACACCATGTCTAACTGAACATCAGATGAAGGACAAGTTCAGGAAGTTTGGAGACTCTGTCAACACATCAAGTCATCCTGCTGCGTGTCTGTGACTGTGATAGCTCTTTAGGAACCATACTCTGAGCTCTACCTGAGCAGGGGGAAACAGGACATCTGGTTATGTCCAGAAATAACACATGCCAATATGCACTGGACCTGCAGAGTTCCTGCTTTTAAACAGACACCACATTTGTTTTACTTCTCTCAGCTTGCATAGCAGCTCAAGACTTAAGCTGTAACAGGGGAAAATGAGAAAACCCCATGGGGGTATCAAACATTTCTAATAAATGCAATATCTGAAGTGAGTATCCTTCTCAAAGAACGGTGAACAAGTTCCTGGATCTTCTCAACATCCAACACAACTTTTGAAAATGATGTTCACTCAGCTCGTAATTGACGCACTAACCTCAAAAGACGATGCAGATAATGTTTACAAAAATAATGTGAATGAATTAGGCACTTTTGAAGGAGCAAGGCTCATCTGCCAGGAGAAAAAAAAAAGAGCAGCAAAGAGACCATCTCTGTCACAGGAGCAACATTTCAATTAAGCAGCAGATATGTACATAGCATGTACTACACAACAGCATATAAATAAAAATAAACTTCAAGCCCTGACATTGTCAACCGCATAATTAAAAGTGACTAATTTGCCATTTTAATGGCGGTTATTATGCCGCTTTATACAAAGGCTGGCTTAATAATGAGAAAATGATTTCAGTGAGTAAATTCCCAAAGCTTTTAATTACATTTTGCCCCAGGCTGAGGGAGCCGGGGCAAACGCAACTATGAACATGAATACCATTTAAGAGCACATTTATGAATTCAAGAGGTCTTTATACTGAAATGCTCAATTAGGAGGAACATGATTGGAATCACTTTCCAAAAAGTTAAACAATTTGCTTTGAATTTAAGCACAGATTCCTTCTGGATACGTCTCAATGTCCCATATTTTCCAGCTGTAATATTCTAATGAGGAAATATGCAGCTTATCTTTGAAAAGTCTGGCTGACTGATAGCACTTGAGGAGAACCCCGGCTCTCTGATTCTGTTTTCTGTTTATGTAATCTAGGAGCTGGTGTCTTCATATGAAAAAAATAATGCACATTATTTTAGTTATGTGAAATACAAAAAAGTCTATCTATTAATGTTTACTTGTAAGATTATTGTAAATGACCTATTATGTTGTAAAGTTGATCAAATTCCTTTAGCTGTAAGATTGTAAGATTGTATTTGCTGAGCTCACCGGCAGCCTGTCTACCCTCCTCTGTTCCTGTGTCATGGTCCTGGGCTCGATTAAGAGTTTAAATGTCTTCACTTTCTTTGTGAAAATTACATTGAAAACAGAGCGGGATCGCTGGAACTGCCACCTTCTGTATTTCTGCGGTCTACATGTATAAACAAATGAAAGTGATTTCAGGTAATAATAATGGAGCCCGGTCCGCTGTGTCCTGCTGTCTTGACTCTTTTGAGTTCTGTTGTTGGTGTTGTTATCTTTATGCTGTTACCCCTCACTGTCTCTGTCAGACTACTCCGTCCAGTGGAAGATAGATGTATGATGGAGAAGGAGAGAGTGAGTGGACCATGAGCAGTGTTGTTCCCTCCCTATCAATGTAGACTTGAACTAGTGTTGTTGTAAAATAATCATAAATAAAAACAGTGCTTGGAGATTTTATTATCATTATGGTGATTTCCTTTTGACTTATGTGGCTTAGTTTAAAATAATGCTGTAATTTTAACAAAGATGATGGTATCATTTGGCAACAAAAAGCCATAGAAACATAAATAAAAAATACAACACACAGATAAAAGCAGCAATCTATGTTTATGTTTTTGTTGTGTTGTCAACGTAGCAACAGCACATGTGGCAAAAAGCTATAAGAGAGGAGCAAAAGAAGGACTCTGAGCTACGAAGCTAAATAAAATCCTGCTCTGGAAATGAAAAAAATAATTGCAAAAAAAATAGATAAAAAATAAATTAATGAAAATAACTACAACTATGTTACTGGGCAGAAACCTCATCACCAGTTTTTTTTTTTTATAATTAAAAATGCCTTTTTTGCATTAATCACCACTATTGATCTCCCTTTACACCTGTAATTAGGCTTTTCAACATTAAACAGAAGAAGTGTTTTTCAAATTCTTTGTGGTTGAACTTTAATTATTAATTATGTAAAAAACAACAATAATCAAGGCAATATTGGTTGAGAAAAAAAGTGGATAAGGTAAAGGAAAGAGTAACGTGAGGAAAAGCATCAGAACAGAGTGAGGAATGGGGACAAAGGTCAGATAAAGGGAACAATAAATAACAGATAAATTTTATGTATAAAAATGTGCATGAGGACAAAGAGTGTGGTCACAAAAGAGACAGAAAAAGAACATAACCGGAAAAAAGTCTGAAACATACAAAAAATGGCCAGAGACACAAGCCATCCCCAATGAATAAGCAGGCCATTATCCTGAAGAATGACGGCCCGGGGCGGTGATTATGCTGCTATTATATCTTTAACAGGATGGTTTGTCAAAACGCACAGACCCCCACACCCCTGGCCCTGCCCTAGCAGACACACACACACACACACACACACACACACACACACACACACACACACACACACACACACACACACACACACACACACACACACCAAACATAGGCAGAGTATCTGAGCATCTCTGCCACCCCCCTTTCAGTAACTTTACATTTATGTATATATGCATCATCACATTGACCCACTATTAATTTATCTGACTTTAACAAACATTATAATATATGTTAAATTGTGTGAGTGTGTGTCTGTGTGTGTATTAGTGAGTAAATACCAAACAAACTCTTGTTGATGAATTAAGTGTTATTTTTAGACTATTATGGATGACCACCATCCAAAAATCAGGTGATGATCTCACCAGATTAGCAGCCTTAATGTGGGTGTAACACCTCACCCTCACCTTGTTGTGTTTTATTACACTATGCACAGCTGTGTGTGTGCAAAGCCAAGGGCACCCTGATTGTGTGACTGATAAGATTGTGGTGTGGATATGCAGCAGCAGTGAATGTCCTTGTTATCCAGGGAGGGAATCTATCCAGCTACATGGCACAGTTTCCTCCCATGGGGCTACGCTGCTCTTATAACACACTACTCTTGTTCCAAATGTTCTCTCTTTTCTTAACACCCATCCCCCAAACACACACACACACACACATACAAACACATGCTGGGCCTGGGGGTTGAACAGGGATTGCTAGATTGTAGTGCTGCAGGGTCAAGTGTGTTGAGACCTTGATGCTGGATCAGGTGCTTCCATCTCTAACACCCAGGGCTGTATATTCACCACTAAACAGCTGTAATCTCCTATCTATGAGCACACACAGATATCCATCTACTTTCCTGTAAGCGAGCCATGACATGTGAGTATCTGAGAGTGTGTAAACCATTAGATGAGATTCAGGACAGCTTCTGCCTTCCTTTCAATCTTATTTTCTTAAAAAAGTTTCTTATTGGTAAAAACTTCAAGGTGTAGCTGACTAAGGCTCATCATTATTATTTTTTAAATGAGTGTTTTTCCGACACTACCAACCAACCAGTTTGCTGTATCTCTTGCTTTAACTCTCACTCTCTTTCCCACACACGCGCTCACTCACAGCCCCCCAGAGCAAGCCCCCCACACAAAATCACAGTGTACCATTCAATCAGTGCTTTTTCCTCCCGCCTCCCTCCATGGTTCTCTTAAAGGTTTTAACCATGGCGAGAATGAAAAGTGCCAGCGTTAGAGCTCGGCCCATTGAAGAGGTGACAGGGTCTGCCAGAATATGATCCTAATCCTGTTTCCAGCATTCTTTTAGCCCACTGGCATCGCCATTTCGCAGCATATTCTCTGAGCTGTCAGGCCCAGGGAAATCCCTCTAATAGTGCATTGCTCAGATACACATCAAAGCCCTCCTGGAAACCAGCAGCAGGAACAGCAGGAGTACAATCAGCCTCACGGCTGCACATGCATACGCAAGCTGAGGGCAGAAACATGCTTCAAAATAAAGCTCAAAGAAATTCAACTCAAGCATGGTGCCTGAGGGTGTCAAAACCTCCGGGGAAACACAAAACACACAAAGCAGGGCCCTTTTCCCTTTTTCCCTAAGTAATTTAAAACTTTTATCCTAACAAGTTCAAAAATCAATCAGGAGACAGACAGACAGACAGAGTTAAGATACTGTAGCTGTAAACTGAGATATCGAAACAAAGGGAGGTGTGATATCAAGAGGCAGACAACAGGTGGCTAAACTGTGTATCCTGGGCCACCCTCCTTTAGTTCCACTTCATCTTCCATTTTCTTCTTGTCCTTTTTTTCTTAAACACTCTGACTGCCATCTCACCCCTCCCCGGGTAATCTTCTTAGAGAGAAGAAAACCCCCATTCTCTCTCTTCTTAATCTGGCTGCAGCCTAAACCTGCGGCTGCATTTCCAATGCGGGCCCTGCTGAACTGCTCATAGCCAGTTTATGGAGCCGAGTCTGACTGAGGACACATGGATCAGTGAGTGAGTGCACGGCTGAGAGAAAAAGATTGTTTATGATGACACATTTAAAGCATATGGCTGCAAAAATATGTAGATGCTGTATCTCATCAGTATTATATGATTTCATCTGTTTATGCCTGCGCTGACAAGATTTGTTACCTGCAACATATGTATAAGAAAATTGAAAGACAAATATACTTTGGGAAGGACATAAATAAGTCCATCACAGCATAGGATACATTTTATTCTTATCAAATAAACACATTTGTAGGTAATGCTGAGAAAGAGACGGATAAGTAACAGTAGTAACCGGGCAAATTAATCTCTTGTCAAACTTAGGAGCCAGTTAATTAAAAATACGTTAAATAAAACTGCAATGTGTTCATAGTAGCACTTAAAGATGGGCTCTTAAAAAGCTGGTTTGAGAGGCTCTTTGAATAACAATAAATATCATTCACTACTTGAAACATGATGGATGGAAAAACATTGACAAAAGTGCTGCTTAGTGATTTTGTTCAAGTATATCCAGGGATGTTTCTAAGTGACTTACTTCCTGGTCATTTTCCTGCATAGAAATTTAAAATTCTGACTGTCTGAAGGAATGAAACAGTCTAAATTAAAGTCACTTTATCTAACACAGTTTGACACAAAGACCTTAAAGTCTGCAGGTAACCAGAGTCAAATTGGCGTGTCAAGTCTAGCTAACATTAGCAGGGCTAGCACCATTAGCCTTTGGTCCTCCCTGCAGGTTAACACTCACACAGCTTGTTGTTTATTCCTCTGTAAAAGTGGTTTAGTCTAATCTGGCACAGCATATCCACAGTTTATCTCCATCTTGACCAAAAAACAGCTGACCCCTGTCATGCCACGGGATACCTTTGGTCATCTGTGTTTGTTTAGATCCTGTTAGCAGAACATTATGACATTGCGGTAGTCGCCATTAACCAGAGCTACAACCCTTACTGAAGGCTAAAGTTCAGACACAACACATGACCAACATTTCAGACAAACAATAATAAAAATATTAATATATCAGTAATTCCTGAGTTGTTATCATTTAGTCGACCAAACGCAGACATTCCTGAGTAAAGCTGTCATACAGTACTGTTTAACCTCAGACACAAAGTAGGCTGGAAGTTTATTTCTGACATTTCTTTTTATTAGCCTGCTTTGTCACTTAATCATACTCCCGTTGTTATCTTATATAGGCACTGTTCTTTGTTTTTGACCCTATTCTGCACATGTTCTCTCAAACACATGTCCTATTTTATATCTCAAGTACATTTGTAAAGAGATAGGACTGAAACAGGTCTTTTTTTCTTACCTTATCTTCAAGAAGAAAAAAAACAGAACAAGACAAAAGATTACAAGCCAGCCTGTGCAGATCAGCTGCTCTCGGTCCTACCTCTGCCTTGTCTTTTCCTTATAGTAGGACAAGAGTTTCAGTAATGCTGTTGAGTAATACAAATGAGCATTTCACTGATGTCAAAGCACAACTGGAGGCCCAGAAAGCTGAAAAAACAGGGGAGATAAATTAAAAAAAACAAATTGTTGTGATTTGGTTGACGAGTAACAACACTATATAGCATTCCTTATTCGCCCCGTGTCTTAGAGCGGCAGGGTTTACATCCAGCTGGGCTCAGTCTACACAGTGCATCTGTGACCAAGACCCCCACTGGTGAAATCCACACTCCCACTGCCAACCAGGACACAGTGTCTGATCTTCACCTCTGGGCGAGAGACACCACAGCAGGAACACTGACATCTGCTTTAACTACACTAAGTTCAACTATGTCCCTGAGTGTATCTTTATAAAACAATATGCCACTTTGTGTTCACCAATAAGAGACACAAAACTGAGTCCTGGACATGTATGCAGAGCTCTATCACCTGTAATATGCTTCCATTTCCTTCTGCTGTCATTCAGAAACCTCATGCAGGTGCTCAGTTTGATTATATGGATCTTTACTGATCTAGCTTGTGAGGTGAAATATAAGACCATTACTGTTGCTGCATGTTTGTGATAAAAATGCAACATTTAAATTATATATGAAAAGACAACAAAGGCATGGCTGTGTGGTTAAATCCATAATATTCATCTTTCTAATACACAGCATACGTCTCCCTAACACAGGCTTACACACAGGGACACAAATAGACAGCGGTTCATTGGCTAATTCAATAATAAAGCAGACAGCGAGGGGAGTCAATAGACAGAGAGAATAGAGAGTAACTCATCTCTAACAGTCGACCGTCTCCTGAGTGTTAAAACATGTAAATTTATGGAAGAGCCCATAGGAAACACATATTTACAATACGTTTAGGTAATCACACGATGTGCGAGGAGGCACTCAAGGCCCTGGAGACGAAAGCAGTCAATACAAAAATAGTTTTTATGTGTCATTAATTCCCTCTGCATTCCCAGATACATCCCCCTTTTACCGCAGTAATACAGTAATCACTCACAATCGCACAGGAAATTATCTGCACTCATCTGTGGAATAAAAAAGCGCAGGGGCAAAACAGGCCGAGACGTCCCATTTTAGCTCTCTGCTGCCTCTTTAATGTTCATCTGGGAGCCGCATGGCTGCCGTCCGTCCCTGCACAGGGATGGGAGTCAGCTCCTGCGCTTGGAGCGGCTTAATGACAGAAGGATGTGGATGGTGGACTCGTTAGAAACACACACACATGCACACACCTTTTTCACGCTACATTGCCTGTGCAGGACAACATAAAGGGTCATCGACGGTGTGATGGAAAAAGAGGCACCTCAGCGCTCACATTAGGGAACATCTCACCTCTGAGTGATGTCAATGCAAAACATGAGTCGATCCAGCTTTTATAATGAAAGTTGCACAGATTCAGATGTGAAAAGCCAAATGGTCAAATAAGTCATTATCTGCCTGTTCATTATTCCCCCCTTCAACATAGCCATACACTGCATTATTAGGCAAAGCCATCAAACCTGATGAATAACCACAGAACAAACAGACCACATTTTAGTTGAGTTAAAGGAAGAAGGTGGTGATGATGATGATGATGGAAATTTGAGTTTCAGTAATGTGGTTCTGCAGCCTGAAGTCTTCATCATCTGACACAGTAAAAGACTTGGAGCTTCTTTCATCTTTAAACCTTTACAGACACAGCTTTACGGCCTCTTGTGGGCACAGACGATGCAAGATACTTTTACCTTTTAACTAAGGCTGCCACCTACAGGGCTGAATTAAAACTACATCTAAAACTGAAGGAGATTTATTGGAAAGCTGGAAAAGTAGTGTACACATACAGTGCAGCGAAAATTGAGACATATAAACAAGTTCAATAAGATACTAACGCTTTTATACAAGAAGAGTTCAGAATTCTATGCCCCGTATAATAACCCTGATTTTAAACTCTAGCCTCCACTGGTCCCTGCTTATTTTCCTCTAGTCTTTCATTCGCTGAAGATTGGTCTTACAAATCTTTTGAAGCAAACTGGAAATGTTGACTCAGCCTAACTTAAGGGGGGTTTTGCACAAAGAGGTGTAGTTGAGGTGAACCTTCATCCTCCTGGCCAAGAGTTACAGTGTGTCCACTTGTCATTAAAATCAGCCGTGCCCTGATCATGCAAAACTCGCCTTAAAACTTATGTGGTCTAAAAATAGAGACAGACTAAGTTTTATTTTTTAACCAGATTTTTAGAATGGGTGTGCATGTGGCTTCTGGGTGGGCTTGGTTTTTAGAACTTATACACTGGCTCTGTCTCTTATGGTCAGAAGTTACCCCTTGATAACAGCATGCTGTAAAAGAGCCTGTTGACATTTACTACATCAAAGATTAACAGAGTGAGATATTTTTGACTTTTAAAAGAAAGCAGGATGAAATCTTTAATTAAAGAGAACAACCTATTGATATAAAGGCCAAAACCAGCAAAGACATGAGTACTCCATTGTGCACTGATTGTGCTGTGATTGATCCAGGCCAAAAGTTTCCTGTATGGGTACAGTGACAAAGATTCTGTTTTGAATTCTTTTTCTCATGCATGAGTTCTTTTTATGCTCTTATTTTTGAAAGACTTGGATGATTTTGGCCCTGGGTGGTGATTATGTATGTAGGTGGGGATAGGCTGGGCAGGCACAGTGTTATGTGTGGACTCTTGCACAGAAAAAAGGAAAAATAGTACCAATGGCACTTTGTTTTTGCAGATAAATACTGTAACTGATTAAACCTCAAAGATCATTTCACTTACCTTGACAGTCAAGGTCATTGCTTCAGCCATTTTTTAACAATTATATCAGTTATTGCAAACACAAACCATTTCTATAATGTGTGTTTTAATAAGTGCCAAACAAGTCTGTTTTGTTTTTTTAAAATGACTTCCTCAAAAAAAAAACAGTGGGCAAATATTTTCCAGAGATTTAGGGATGTTTTCAGGTCCTTCAGCTAAATAATGTGTTTTTTTTCCATGTTTTAAATAGTCCACCATGTAAAAAAAAAAAAAGTACTTCTTGAACTGTGCTCCAGCAAACACAGTTTAAACACACACTTGTGTCCTTAATTCATAAATACAGAGTCTGTCAGTCCACAGTCTATGTGAGCCTCCGTAGTTTGCACATGTAGATTGGGCCAAAGTTAGCAGCTAAGTGTGGGACGACCATCTCACCCAGGGGGAGGTCGGGAGCGAAGTGAAATGTTTTCCTAAACATGTGAGTGAGGGGTCGAAGGTCAACAACCTGTATGTAAATCATGGCAAAGAGGGAAAAAAGAACAACAAAAGTGAAATTATTTGTTGTTCCATATTCATCACTAGGGAACTTTTATATTCAAGAGGTCAAAACCTTTGGAATAGTTCACTTCCAATGACTAAATCTCTGAGCAGTTTACAGTGAGTGTCTGACCTGGAGCTGGATGCCGTGGTTCTCTTGGGCTAATTGGATGGCCTGTTCCACCACACTATGGTTCTGGCTACGACAGAGCGTGCAGGTGGAGTAAAGAATCTCCCCACCAGGACAAGCAGCCAAGATCCCCGCCCTTTAAAAAGGAAGAGAGGAGTCTGTTCAATTGTTGCTTTGTAATAATCTGACAACATCTACCATCACAAACATTCATTTTATCTTGACAGTTTCATCCACTCACAGCAGCAGCTCTGTCTGCAGCTGCGGCAGCCTTCGTCTCTCGCCAACTCTGCTCTTGTTGAAGATATTATTGTCGTCCTCCAGTAATGAGTGTCTGTCTGTGGTGCAGGGGACATCAACAAGGACCTGAGGAGACACAAGAAAGAAACAGTTAACAAAGTGATTGTATCTGGATAAACATTTGATTCAATGCTGACACTTTCTGACTTACTCTGTTAAATACGTTTGTTTCAACTTCGCCCCACATTGTACCATCAAAGGACGTGATGCGCAGTTTCTCGTCAGTCAGAAGATCTTTGGGAATGTAGCTTCTGAGGACCCTTTTAAGTCGCATTGTTCGAGACACAGATGCGTCATTTACGCACAAAAATCCTAAAGTACAAAAACAAACCACAATTGGTTGACTTTTTCTCACAAACACCAGAGGAAGATGGTTTTAACATTTTATATGCAAAATTAAATGCAAAAACTCCTCTTACCAAGAGAGTGTGTCTGTAGTAAAGCCAAAGTTTTGCCTCCTGGAGCAGCACAGAGGTCAAGCACGTTATGACCATCCTCAACGTTCAGTGCAAGACATGGCAGCACAGATGCTGCATCCATCAGGTAATAACTCAGTAAACCGCTCTTATCTGGTCTTTGGAGAACAAGTAAAAGGGCTTACCACACCAATTATGAATTAAATGTCTACAACAAAAATACACATTTATCCAGCTACAAACCAGACTTGGAAGAAGGTGTTAGATTTCATCCATGAATAATAAATGAGCTCACTTGGCAGGTTTAAATCGTGTGATATCCCCTCTTGGAAACACCAAGCACTTGACGTTTCGACTGAGCTGTAGTGGAGGAAGCTGCAGACTGTCAGCGTCAGCATTTTGCACGGAAACACAGTCAGATTCCCTCTCAGCTACAAATTCAGATTCTTGCTGCAGACGTGGTTGAGCTGCAGGGGAAAAGAATGCAAAATAAAATTTGTAAAAGTTTGATTTTACCGCTTTCATAAAGCTAATTTTCAAATATAAAGCATTAAAGGGATATTCTGGCGTAAAATTAAATTAGGCTCAAACACACCATAACACCGAGTTAGACACCCCGTCGAGAGATGAATGTTGCCAAAGGCTTGCTTCTCTAGTTATACCAACTTTAGTAACGACAATACAGAGAGCCATGCACTCAACGAAAAAGTCACTCTATAGCCACAAATAATGCTCAAAACAGCACCTAACTTCATCAACAGTACATATAGGGTCCCAGCCATAGCATTAGCCACCAAACATCTTTTTAGCTTTACCTAATTTCTTTAGCATACATGTTATCATAAATGTTCTTCCTTGAGCTGCGTCCCCCCACTGCAGCAGTCGATGGACTCGTCCAGAGGACTCCGTACAAACAAGCGGCTGCTGGAAGATTGTAGGTGAGTTGTGTTTAGTCTCTTTGCTAAAGAAGTCAGGCAAAGTTAAAAAGATGTTTGGTGACTAGTACTATGGCTGGGACCCTATATGTACTGTTGATGAAGTTAGGTGCTGTTCTGAGCATTATTTGTGGCTATAGAGTGACTTTTTGGTGAGCGTGTGGCTCTGTGTATTGCTATCTGCGGTCGTTACTGAAGTTGGTATAACTAGAAAGGCAAGCGGTCGGCAACATTCATCTCTCGAGGGGGTGTCTAACTCGGTGTTACAGTGTGTTTGACCTTAACTCAATTTTACGCTGGAATATCCCTTTAAAACATATTCTGTCATTAAAGAATATTTACACTGAAAGGGAATGCAAAATCAGCTTTCCAAAAACACAGTTACTGGGATTTGTGAGCTCTCAGTCTCTCAGCCTGGAGCAAATCACTAAGCCAAGATTGAGAAGTTCACTGGATCCTACCTTCTGTATCAGTGTCCCTGATGAAGTCTCTGCATCCCTGAGCTTCGTAGTCTTCAGGAATATCATCAAAAGAGAAATTATTGAGGAGGGCTCCATATTTCCTTTCTGACAGCAGGGCCACCCGGATCGACGGCCACAGCTTCCCCAGCTGGGTGCTGTATGTGGAGTCAAAGTGCCGCAGGGCCAGAGTGGTGGGAGGGTACTTGGCACGTGTTGCAGCCTGCCAGAAAGAAAGAAAGGTCAAAATTGTAATTTAAATAAGTTTTAAAGTGGTGTGAGAGCAGTTTTTCATCTCTTAATCAATCAAACGATTCTCATTTCATATTCAGAGCATGTTTATGCCATTGTTGTTCTGTGGTGTTGATTTTAATACTTTGAATAAGTCCACAATATTAGCTGTTATTTATTCTTAATTCAGTTTATTTTCATTTCAGGAGCAATTTTTTATGTCCAGTCTTTAAATTAAATCAGAGAAGGCAAATGTAAGTTATCATCAAATTCAGTAGTTTCAAAATTTTCTGGTAACTTCACTAAACCAAACATTAAGATCATTTCAAACACCTAAATGGTACAGCTTTTATGCACACAAAGACCATTGCATTGTTGACATACCCATTTCTCTTTGACTCTGTATCGTTTTGAGGTTAAACTTCTTAAATCTTTGATTTTTCTCAGCAGCAGCCTGGTATCCATGAGCAGTGCCATCTTTCTGTGCAGCTGTTATAACATCCGTCCTCGCTCAGACAGCCGAAACTAAAGTTCCGTGTGATTTCGTAAACTAAATGGGCGGGCCTTACGCGATGATTTTCCCGATGATTGCACAAGAGCTACATCAATAAGCACTTCGACCAATAGGAGACCTTTTCCGGTGACTCTTCTAGTCGTTTCCTACAAGTGACCGACCTCACGTCCTCAGTGAACAGCAGCGCTGGCGTGAAATTAGGACCCCCGTCCTCTAGCGGGATTGTTTGTTGTATTTTAGAGCTTTAAACATGGTTTTCGAAAGGAAAATGGTCAAATACGACGACCCAGACGACGAGGTAATGAAAATACCGACATGTTTTTGTGTTTAATCGTTTTCTTTGTGTGGGTTAAGTTACCCAACTTGCCGGTCAGTGGAGACTGAAAAAGGTTTCTTTTTCAGTGAGTGACCTTTAAAATAGACGATGATATTACACTTAATATGAAATATGGAAGGCCTGTGGAACTGTAGTCTAACTATATCGATACGCGACGGTTAATTTCCTAGATAGCCTATTTTAGTCAGCTTCGTGTTTTTACACGGTACATATACAGTGTAACACAGGTTATATCTGAGTATTATATGCGTATGATTTTGGTCTTAAAATTTCGTATAGGTTTTATTTTCTCAAGTTATGGAGGAGGGGAAATATACTGTTAGGTTTATTGTGTCATTCAGAGCAAAGCGTAGTTTTAAAGTAGTTCGTGATCAATGCTATAAACAACCAGGACCAAAGTAATTCAAATGTTTTTTCATTAATGTTTTTAAATAGGAGGAAGATGCTCCTGCAGAAGAGGAGGAGGAAGAAGCAGCAGAGGAAGAAGAAGAGGAGGAGGAGGAAGAAGAAGAGGAAGACATGGTGGTAAGTTTGTGATTTATCAATTTGATAAATATTATTAAAGGGTAACCAAGTAATTCCCCTGCAAACTCAGACAACTCTGTCAGAGAGGGAGGAGAAGGAAACATGAAGAGCACACTGACTGTGAATTACTTTATATCTAAAGGATACAATCTTTTTACAGTGTCTGATCTGGAATATATCAAGGGACAAATGAAGGGGTAACTGGGTAAAACTTCCCTTTTGTAATGTATAGAGTCACTTTTTTCATGAATATACTCTTGTGATCTGTCCATATATTCTCATTCATCCAGGTCATGGTTTTCTTGAAGACTCCAAAAACAGGCGACTGGACTGTGTAGAGTTGAAGACATTTCGCCTCATATCCAAGAAGCTCAGTTCTAAAAATTGCTGGTGAGAGGAGCAGATATTTATCCTACTGTAGAAGGGGACAAACAACGACTTGGAGGAGTTGACTGGGAAGAGTTGGAGTTTCTTTCCAACTCCTCCCAGTCGTTGTTTGTCCTCTTCTACAGTAGGATAAATATCTGCTCCTCTCACTAGCAATTTTTAGAACTGAAGAAGCTTCTTGGATAAGAGGCCAAATGTCTTCTTAACTCTACACAGTCCAGTTGCCTGTTTTTGGAGTCTTCAAGAAGTACTCTTGTAATCGTGATTCATAAAATGGACACAGACATTTTTGTATCGCTCCATTAGTACAAGTTTTAGGCACTTATGCTGTACATTACATCAAGATCCATCTTTTGTGCCATCTTTATTTTTACCTGTTTGATACCTGAACTTACTCAGATATAGATTAAAGTTAAAAAGAGACAACATCGTGCAGGAGGTAAATTGTCATTGTAGTTAATTTAGACTTTACTGTCTGTAAAGAATCTTTATGGACTTTTAAGTATGATTTCACTGTCATTTAAGTGACAAACACATAAAAGCATAACTATTTCAATCTAGTTGTGTATGTAATGACATTTTAAGGTGGTTGGTTTGACACTGCTTTGAATTGTTAAAATAGAATATTTTATTGGTATTCAGATTATAGTTTTGTTTTGCCTCAAACATGTTAGAGAATTGTTCAGGAACAATTCTTAAAACTGAAGGATTGGTGGGTGTTGTATGTGGAATTAAAGTGCCTCAGGGCCAGAGGAAGGGTGGCAGGGTATTTGGTACGTGTGGCAGCCTGCCAGAGGGAAGAAAGGTCAAAACTGTGATTTAAAAAAGTTTTGAAGTGGTATGAGAGAAGTTTTTCATTTCTTAATCAATTTAAAAGATTCTCATTTTATATTCAAAGCATGTTTACGCCATTGTTGTTCTGTGGTGTTGATATCAATACTCTGAATAAGTCCACAATATTAGCTGTTATTTAAAACTGAAGGATTGGTGGGTGCTGTATGTGGAATCAAAGTGCCGCAGGGCCAGAGTAATGGCAGGGTACTCGATACATGTGGCAGCCTGCCAGAATTGTTAAAATAGAATATTTTATTGGTATTAAAATGATTGTTTTGTTTCAGATTCACTTTTACAGATGATAACAGGTCTCTGCATAATGCCTCAAACATGTCAGAGAATTGTTCAGGAACATTTAAAACTGAAGGATTGGTGAGCCTTAACTACAAATAGGGGCAGTGAATGATGTGGGTACACACAGAGTAGCTATAGTGTGTGAGGTGTAAATTCTCAGTCCTTTTACCACTTGAATTGCTAATAGTTGATTTGATGTACACAAACTGCAAAACCAGGGTCATGTTTTCTCTTTGTTCCGCTCAGGATCCAATAGATACGATACGAGCCAAGTGTGAGCAGACTGAACACTGTGTGCACACAAGGGAGCGCCTGGAGACCTGTGAAGCTCGTGTCAGCTCCAGATCTCGCACTGAGGAGGACTGCACAGAAGAACTCTTTGACTTTTTGCATGCAAGGGACCATTGTGTAAGTTACAGACACCCAAGACTTGTAAAGGAGAACAATCTGTCCTTCTTGTGACCTTATCAATGATGTTAACGGTGTCCTCATCTGTCTTTACAGGTAGCACACAAGCTTTTCCACAACGTGAAATGACCAGCCTCCCCAGCTCCCACCACCCACAGCTGTAGACACTAGAAACAGCTAAAATTGTAAAATAATCAGGGCAGTTGTTCAGTTGTTATTCTCCAGTGTATTGATGTAAATTATTCCCCTGGTTTCCTGGACTAAATACTGTACATGTCACACCCTCTCTGTATGCCGTGCATGCTTGTTTAGTCTGGGTCAGAGGCAGTATGTGAAATATAAATAGCTGTTTGTATAGATAATGGGTGCATCCAAGTTGATGAAGGTTGAATGAGGAAAGGGCTCAAACTAACAACCCTTCACTGTGTCCGTTCATATGCAATAGCAAGTATGCTGCTTTTGGTTACAGAATTTCTCAGGTTAAGTCATGGATTCACAACACTCAGCAGAAAAATAAAAGCTTTCTTTGGTTTACACTGTGAGTCTCAACTTAATGAAGCCACTTCTTTACGGGATCGGTTGAAGATTTTTCCTGGCTGTACATTCAGGATGTGTTTGATTGGGGAAATGTTTGTTTCAACTTTGAACTCATGGCAGGGTAACGTGGACAAAACAGCACAAGGAGAATTGGGTTATTTAGATGTTGATTAGTAACTATGGCATATTTAAAGGTAAAAAATTGTGACCATGTTGTAAAAGGATTCAGGGATGATAATCAGCGCTCATTTCTCTGCCTTAAAAAGGGGTTTAAAAGAATCGTCCAGTACAGGGGAGGGTTTTAACTTCAGTAAGTGTGAAAGTTTAGATGGATTTTTGTTACTGCTACAACTAAACCAGCACAAACAATTCAGTTTAAAAAATGACTGACATCTTTCAGTTGGTGTATAGAAAAAGAAAGATTTCAAAGGCTGGTTAATTTTCTAAACTCTTTCATAATTAAAAATGGATAGATATGAGTCTAGGTGATCATCTCCTTTACAAAAACAGTATCATTCTTCGTGTCAACTATTGCTGTTGATGGTTTCCCAGGTTTATCTGTCATATTAAAAAATAGAAAAATTAAAGACTGCTTCTTTTGGTGTATGTATTATCTTAATCAACCGTCTTCATAAATTTCACATTTCATCAAAGTTTGTTAAAATCCTCACATATGTACAGTAGGCTCACATAACTTACTTTAAAACATAAGATGCAGAATTCTACACGAGCTGCAAGTTATTGATCACTGCTCCACCCGTGGCTGTTGGTTGACCAAATCTTTATTTGGATACATGCCAAAAACATAATACATAATAACTTAAAAATCAATGTCTCTTAAAAACAAGATCCCCTAAAAAAATAAAATAAAAATACAATATTGACCACAGGGTGGCAGTGGGACCCTTCACGCCACCAGCTCACCGAGAAATGAGGTAGATAAGTGTATTTGTCAGCGATAAAAATGTCATTTTATAAAATCAAACTAACCCAAGTGGAATAAAGATGTGACACAGAGCAGATACTTTATGCACACAGTGCACAATATTTCAGAAGTTGGTGATGAGTTCACCCTCTCACCAGTTTTCTTTGTTCCCGACGAAATCATCCATAGAGGCCTGCAGAGAACAGTGCACATGGAGGGATTCATTTACATCACTGAATAGCATAAAGAGTTAAAATTCAACAAAACTGGTTATGATTAAGAGCCTAGTTTTTACCTGCATGAGCAGCCTTTCCTTCCTCAGTCTCTTGTAGAAGAGAAGAACGTCTGGGTCTGCTCTGACTACATGGGGGTCAAAGTCCATCACCCTCAGCCCTTCAAGACTCCGTGCCCGAGATAAAGCCACATACGCCTGTCCGCTCTCAAACACACGAGCCAGAGAGATCTCCACACAGTCCAGTGTCATCCCCTAATAGGGAAGAAAAGTCACCAATAAATTAAAACAGAATGATGAATATAAGCCTTTGTAACAAACCAGGAGTTAAAGTTATTTTTGGCTCAGATTGGATCACGTATTTTTGTTGGATGAATGAAAAAATGATCAAGAAGCACAGGTTATTTACATTGTAAAAACTTCTCAATGCCAGTGTTAATTCACTGAGAGCAGCTGGTTTGTTATTTATTGCTTCACGTGACATTTCCACCTGATTAATATCACCTACAATTTTTCCGTTTTGTCCCTGTAGCCCCTCTGAATGTTTGCTGGTATCAGATTTATTTTTAGGTCCCCCTCTTAGCTCCTCAGCTGCAGGTCAGTCACTGGTGATGCACTGATCGTGACCAATAAAATCAGTTACCCTGGGGCCTTTTTCTCAGACTGATTATAAAGCTGACAGATACACAACCTGCTGTGGGAGGAGAGTGGGAGCTGTTGCGAGACAGATAAATGATCTGTGAAGGCTGTCATTTGATTGCACACAGATGGATGAAGACAAGAGGTGGAGGTGGAGAGGAGAACATGCCGTCAGTTTGCAGGAAGTGGGAATAATTTGAATTCGTGGTCACGTCTTGAATCAATGAACTCTGGCTTTCTATGTTATTCATGTGGGTGGGTTCGTTTTTTTTTTTTTTAAAAAAAAGGAAAAAACATCTAGTTTAAATACCGACGCTTGTAAAAATCATGTTTGAAACCATAAAACAAACAAACAAAAAAATACTTTTGTTAAACTGCACAAAAGGGAAATAAAATGTTTCTGCCATGATTCAACTCTTAAATGAAAAAGTATAAAGGAAACCTTGAATAAAAAAAAAAGAGCTCAGAACAGGAATGTCTGCACCAAATTAGATTTAAAGCACAAATATCAACCTGCCGCTAGTCGAACCAGAGTGACTAAATTGAATCAACTTTATCATCTTTAATGTCTGTGCCGTAGTTCTCCGCGGACACCTCCAGAATACGTCAAAAGCCAAGCCTGCTGGTGGTATTTGAGGTGAAGTCCCTGAAGCGACAACATTTGTATAAGCGTTTATCTGCAGGGGATCATGATTGTCAGGACAAAGTTCATGAAGAATGCAAGCAGCTGCAAATTTCATGACAATAACAAAGAGATGAAAAGTGACATTTTTTTTTAAAGTTTTATTCTCTCAAAACTTTGCTGCTGTGGAAAATAATCCATTTGAAATAAGAACAGATTGTGCTGTAGGTGAATTTCTGGAACATTCAATCATGTGAATGTTAAAAAAAGAGATTAAATGAAAGGGAGAAGTGCTATTATATGAACACAGTTTGTATTTCTGACACACTCCTCACTCTCCCCTGTGGCTCTTAACCTTGGATTAGAAGAAATAATGGAGACAATGATTCGAGCTCTAAGGCTGACTCAAAAAGAAAAACCAAACTGTCTGCACTTTCTACTGCCGGGAAATACCTGCAAATGCAATATAAAAAGAAAAACGAATTCGTTTTCGGACAATAAAATTAAATATCTTGTCATAAAGTGAGTCATTCATTAAAAGAACGCCCCACTCACTTCCAGACAGACATTTCAAAGCAGTTATAGAGCTTTGTTGAGTTTTTGGTTGTTTGGATGTTGTGCTCTGTGTGTGGCTGTGACTGGCCCTGTGCTCACCTGGCTCTTATGGATGGAGATGGCCCACGCCAGTTTGAGTGGCAGTTGCTGTCGACTCAGGTGGATCCCACTGCCGGCCTTAAACACCCATCGTTCAGGTTTAAGCACCTCTGTGACACCGCACAGAAAACGCACTCGTGGGAGTCCTGGGGGAAATGAGGAATGAATCAGCATGTTCATTCAATTAAAAAGAACAAAAAACACTACTGAAAAAACAATTGTTGTTTTTCACAAGGTTTCACCTGCTTGTCTGTCTGGCCTGCTATTGTAACAAAAATAACCAAAAGTCCTTCTTTAATTAGAAATCCTGAGAAGATGTTTTCAAGTTACAAGTAGAAGAGCTTTTTTGCTAATTTCACTGTGTTTAGTACTGACAGTTGACAAAGTAGTGCAGTATTTGGAAAGATGTACTCATGTTTGCGATTTCAGCATTCAGCGATTTAAGCAAGAAATTGTTAAGCTGTTAGCTTAATTTTGCATGGAAAATGGAGATCTGAAGAAACTCCTACTTTTAGCCGAGGGGGGGAAAAAACAGCTTAACCACATAAAATGTGGCTTTTTAAACTTAATTTAGCATGTAAATGTTAACCATTTAACTTAAAAAAAGCCAGGGTAGCTATCACCCCTCCGTTTTATTGCACTAAACAATCATTTTTTAGGGTAAGGCTTCACACCTAAGTGGATAAAACTGACAAAGATTCTGGATCTTCTAGGATAAAATTTTTCTAAATTGTTTCAAGATGAAAAAAAAACCAGAAACTAACGAACTGACCATTTTTTCCAGACTCAAAACCAACCACGACCCCTCGCGCCCCGTTCACCAGTCCTCGGGCCACATCCAAGTTCTTTGTCAGCATGACCTTAAAAAAGACAAAGATTTAGCACATGTTCCAACTCGAACTGAGATTCTCCATTAATATCAGCCAGATAGTGGCAGCTCATGGGATTTGAGAAATAGACTTACCTGAGCCCCCACTTTGAGTTGGAGCACCCTGTTAACAGGACTGTGAGCGTCCATGGTCTTCACAAGAGCTGGATCGCTGTCCAGAGCCTCGAACACTCGCACTGAGCCTGAGGGTCGAGAAGTGTCTCATTTAATAGGAGAGGAAAATATGAAGGCTGATGGGTTTATGTACAGAAAATATGATGAGAAAGAGGAAAACATTCAAGTGAAGATACTGGGCTCATTTCTTCAAAGCTTTTGAAATCAACCAAATATTGATTTTCTTTTTTTGCTGACATGGATCAGGAAATTCTTCAAACTTATGTTCTACCATAGCTGTGTAAAAGTGGATTAAATAAACATTAGATACAGACTTTCAAAGACCAACAAATCCACTACTGCTGACACTCTTAAATGAATGCTGCATGTGCACACGCCATATACTCTGTCTACATGGGGCACCAAAATGATTGAATTTGAATGTACAGATTTATTTAGAATCAATCCTCCCAAAAGGTTACAAACAACTAGAAACCTAACATGCAAATAAAAAAACAAAAAAAAGTGGATTCTGAAATTGGATTGGATCAGAACAGAATGGAATGAGAGCCACTTAAGTGTTTTTTTGTTTGTTTGTTTTTTAACAATCCAATTTTAAGGTTTGACTGGGTAACTTTGATGAGGTTGGATGACTTCTGAATAACCAAGCTCCAAAAATACCTGGGCTCAATTGTACACAAAAAGAGATTCAAAAATATATGTTCAAAACTTTGAGTGACCACCAGTCTAACAGAGTCATAGCTCCTCTCTACAAGTACGGAAATGAAATGATGAAAATACTGCAGAAAATGAAACGGCAGCGCTCACAAACGTAAAATTGCTCCTGAGGAAATTGGTTTCAACAAGATGGTCATACATGACTCAACTCACAGAAAACAGCTTTGCCAATTATCAGTATGAATCCATATCTCACACTCCTCAGGGTGAAAACCTTTGTAAATGCAGCGATTCAGACCTGGTAACTGCTGGAGTTTGTTCTCGTTTGTGAGCTCCACATCATCCTTGTGTGTGCACAGCCTGGTGGCAAGGATACCGTCTCTCTCGATGTGGTGGTAGGCACTCTGCAACAGTTTGGCAGTGACCTCCTCCGTCACCCTGAACAGTGTTAAATGAGACGGAAATGGATTGAACTTTAATTGATAAAAAAAATCTGTTGCCGAGCAGCAGAGCTAAGCTGTTGTTCCTGGAAGTTTCCTTTTACGTAACGGGTTAAAGTCAAAACACATCATACTGAACATTTTGTTAAACACTGTTAGAAGAGGTGTGTGTGGAATGCAAGGTTAAAGAAATGGACAGTGTTGTTTTTTTACCTGCCAACCCTCACTGCCTGCAGGAGGGAAATGAAGGACTGGTCTGTTTGCCTACGCACCTCTGTGAGCTCCATATTGAGCTGGATCACCTTCCGCCAACTCCTGGCCTGAAGCACAGATCCCCATGAGTACGCTTGAATGACTCACAACATCCCTGACTTACACAACCGTTTATACAAAAAGAGCACAAAAATGACCAGACCTCCCATCACTAACTTGATATCAAAAAATGCCCACTACATGAACTCTTCCCATACAGTTTTGTAAAAACTACAGAAACCATAACCCTACAGAGCAGGATGTAACACTGCAAGAGTGTTATAGAAATGTCTTTTCAGGCAATATTACTGATCTAATGACTTGGGTAAAGAGTAAAATTTCAGGATTCATGTTTGTCTGACCTGGAAGCAGAAGCTGGCTTTTTCCTTTCCTTTGGACACAGGTGGCAGTTGCAGGAAGTCACCACACACAATCAGCTGGATGCCCCCAAATGGCTCAGTGGACCTCCTCACTGACCTAGACAGAATGTGGTGTTTTCAAATTAGGGGAGGATCAACACAGTGATTAACAGCTACATAGTCAACAAGGTTTTTAAATGCTGTTTTTTTTAAGTGCCCCCCCAAAAATGGGTTTCTGGTTCATCATTTTTTTTTCAATTTTGCAGCTTCTAATGAACCACAACAACATTTTAAAATCACAATGCCTTTTTCTGTGATTGTACAGCGAAATCAGGTGTTTGTAATTGAAGTGGGCACATACAATGTTCAACATTTCCATGTAAAGATAAACTGATGACATCTATCAATAGAAACAATGAGACTCTCAATTGCACTGTCCTTAAATCAGTCTACAGAACACTTGATATTGTACCAATCTAAATGATAATGTACACTCTCTGTAATAAAGCACACTTAAAACTTTTCTTTAAGTTCAGTTTTTTTGATGGCATACAGACAGAAAGTGCTCAAAAATCTAGAGGTGCAGATTTTATTTGAGAGAAAGTTGCAGACTTAACAAACTGAATCTGATTTTGAAGAGCACAGGAACTTCTAGATAGTTGTTAAATATTTTATTAGTATGCTGTTAAGGAGGCAGTTTAGGTGGCCTAGAGAGAAAGTACACTTATAGTTAATTAGATATTTTCATACGTTATTGCCTCATATTTTATTTAAACTAAAATGCACTGTGTTGTGCAATATAGCTCACACCAGAGTTCTGCTAATCTTCACAATAAAACAAAAATATCATCCTTTATAGCTGCAGCCATGAACAAACACAGTTTATGAGGTGTTAAATTTGAGGTCCATATACACTCATACAGTCAATATACTGCTACAGAAGAGGGGACAAACTGTCATCTGTCTTTAACCCTTTCAGTGCGCACATTCAGTTTTGTGAAGTATGATCAATTGTCTGTTGCTCTTATCTCACCTGGCCACCGACTCCAGCTTGTCAAAGAACTGAGCCTCCACCATGGAGACCTCATCAATGATGAGGTGTCGACAGCTGGTCCAGTGCTGCAGCACACCGGGCCTCTGAGCCAGTTCAATACACTGCTCCAAAGGGGCCGTGCCTGAACCAATACCTGAAGAGAGGGGGAGCAGAGCAGCAGAGGGGGGAGAATGGTGGTCAGAGAGGTCACAAATCAATAACACACATGCAAATGCCTGATACTACAGGTACTACTATTTCATCTACTACTGTGATTTCACCAAAATGACCCCTCTAATTGTAGAGGGAACTGATACTCTCTCTGAAGTGAATTAAACATTTTCAAGCTTAACTTAAAGTTAAAATAAGCTATTGTACAGATGTAGCAGTAGAGCAGAAAATAGAAAAACGATTCTTGGCAAAATGACTGTGTGCTTTCTTGGAAACTGATGTTGGACAAAACAATTTTTCTGACAGCCACACGGTTGTTGAAAGTGATTTCAAACCCTCTCCAAAAAGTACAATGATTATCAGATCAATTATTAGTGTTCAGCCTGAAGTTTCTTCTCCAATATGAATAGTACAGCCCAATTTCAGGATAGGCTTTTGGTGAAACCAGCAAATGGAGCAATTATTCTGATAATCTCTCATCTCCCACTGCTGATTATGGGTCATTTCCTGAGGTCTATTTGTGTCAAGCATACATAAAATCTATTTTGTGTTCTCAGAGAGACACAACAACTGACCAGCAAAATTGTGTAATGTTGTTCCGCCAATGTGACATGCAGCCACTCCTGTGCTGGCTGTAGCAAAAGTGCCTTTTGGAGGTAAAGATCCCATGATCCTCTTCAACAAAAAGGACTTTCCTGTGCCTGGAAAACAGATTTAACACACAATTTTTATACACAGCAGTGTAAATGAGGATTGACATTTTGAGTCAGACACTTTTGCAAAACTTATAACACAGAGCTGGTTGACTACCGCCTCTAATTTTGGCTAGAATATACTTAAAGATTGCACTGGTATCAATTATTATGTTTGTACAGATCAAAATAGTGACATAAACGACATATTTGACTAGCTCTTTACATACAAAGAGCAGCTCAAAATTTCATTTAAACTTTCAGACAAATAAGTACAACTAAAGTTCAGATGGACTGAAATAAAAAAAATAATAATAAAAATCCATTTTAAGATACATTCTAAATCCAGCAGTAACAACAACAGCAACAATATTAAGATTAAACTTTTCAAAATCAAAAAGATTAGGCTTTACAAAATACTTCTCTCAGGAGGAACAAAAGGGAGAAATACAAAATCCAGGGCAAAAACTAAATAAACACAAAAACCCTAAGCTGACATTCACCCATACATTTTGTTGTCTCCAATTTTTCCATGTTAACAAATTACATTAAGTCCTTCACAGAAATTATGTTCAAGATAATAAGATATCTACAGAAAATTGCTGGAAGTAATCCATTACCACCATTATCACCAACAGAGGCAGAGCTAACATGCATTTATGCTGGCACTAACATGAATGAATAACTTTTCCTAAAGAATAAAAACATACAGTTGAGGCCAAAATTATTAGCCCCCCTATGAAATTTTAACTTTTTTTCCAAAATTTCCAAAGTGCTGTTCAACAGATTAATGATTTTTTTTTTACACAGCTTTTCCAAATATCTTAGTTTTATTTTGGATCCTTACATTATTTTACTTTTGCACAGAAGCAAAATTATCAAATTCTTAGCCCCCTTAAGAATTGACATTTTCATAGGGGGGCTAATAATTTTGGCCTCAACTGTAATCATTCTTTGTATGAAACTGAAGGAATCAAGAAGATGCATGCCCAAAGCCACAATCTAAAGTGAAAACAAACTGGAGGTGGACAAAGACCACGGCCACCCATAGATTTACTCTTGATCGTATGAAAACAGGGTAAATAAAACGTAAGGATGCATGTCTGCTTAGGGCCTTCCCAAGTATGTGCTGAGAATTTAGCATCAGCTTTGTTTTCAAACTCACCAGCACTTCCAGTGAAGAAGACATTTTTTCCGCTCAGCACAGCATTGAGGACTGCTGCCTGCTCTTTATTAAGCTTTCGTGTTGGCATAGCGATGATTGGCTTCTTACTCGGGTTTGACTTGACCTGAAAAAGAAATGAGACATCTTAAAAAACATAAAATTAAATAGATTTTAAAAACAGCTCAAGGGAAAGGTTATATTGCATAATTGTGCCACAGATGAAGACACATAAAAAGCTGTTCTATTGGTATCTTATGCTCATGTGTTCAACTCACTGGGCTGAAGTTGGTGTCACTCCTGGACCTCTTGACCTGTCCTGTCCGTCCTGCCCCTGCCACGGTTCCCTTATTGGTGCAGTCAGTCAGCCCTTTGGGAGCAGCTATACTCCTCAGCTCGTTGACTTTCTGGATATCTTTCTTCTGTAGGGGGCTGATGGTCTCGAAGCTGCGGGGCAGAGCAGCTTTGAGCTTCTCTCTGTCGCTCAGGGGCTTGGTGGCCTGCCAGGCCTGGTGCTTAATGCTCAGGGTTTTCAGGAAGAGGTTCAGCTTGTCTGGGGGACAGTTGGACATGAGCACCTGGATGTTTTGAGGGAGAAGTTTGACGGTGCATTTTCCTTCTTTGGCAAACTTTGTAAACAGTTTGAACTCTCTGAGACGGTAACTTTGCGGGACTTTTCCGTCGTGGATCCGGAGCATGATCTCCGCGAACTCATTGCGGCCCAAGATAACAGAAGCTTTACGCATGACCTGCCTCCGGGTGGCCTGACCAGAGGTGTTGAGCTGCTCCACCGTCACACAGCACTGCAGCGGGGCACCGTCCTCCATTGCATCAACTTTCTGCTGAATGTAAGAGTTCAGATTGGCTGGAGATCAGCATTTTCCCCGACTACGTAGAAACGCGCTGTTACACCTTTACTGAACTGCTACAGTAAACCACAACAAAGTCTGGTTCAAGTCATAAAACATCGAAATCTTATTGAATATAAATGAAACAACTACGATCGATGATATCTCATGTTATTACAGCGAAAGTCTTATTCAATCCTCACCTTTCTCTTCTAACAGTCTGTGTCCAAATCTTTGTATCCCCTCGTCTCTCTGTGTCGCTGCTTTCCAGGCTTTAAACAGGAACACAGATTTTCAAATTGTCGGTGCATGAAATCAGCCAATAGCTGAACGACAATCCTGGCCAATCACGAAGAGGTGATTTAAATCGGCGTCCAATGAAACACGGAGAGAACGCCCACATGGCACAAGCAACCAATCACGAACACGATGGCCGTAACGTCATATTGGTGGGATATACACACGCTATGCGGAAGTATGAGACCGACTTCACAGAGCCGGGAAAGGATATTTTTTTTTTTTGTAGGATGCAGAGCAGTGGATTAAACGGTGGTTTAATCCACTGCTCTGGTACTGCCAACCTTCTGGTTATTGGACAACTGCTCTACCTCCTGAGCAACTGCCGCCCCAATAATAACAGTAAGAATAATTCAAGGCTAAAAATTTTATAAATTCCTTTAATGAGTAATTTGTCTCCTGTCATGACATTTGTGAATAAAAATGTGTTTGCTTCATTTACAAAATTAAGAACCCCATCCTCTGTACTATGAATAAGCTAAGTTTCTGATAAAGTACTGTTTAGTTTTACTCAAGGAAATCCACAGACCAATAGTTTTACTTACACTGAAGCAAAATATCATCTAAGTATCTGCTCTTTTATTAGAGAATGATATTTTGTGTTTGAGAACTTCATTTGTATATTAGCCTTGATGGTAAAGGTTATTTTTATTATTGTGCACACTGTTATCAAACTTCTGGATGCCAAATCAATACAGAATGCATTTTTTTCAGACTTCCAGTGCAGTACACGTAAAATAAAACTTTATCTGGAATGTTTTTCAAAGCATTGTTTGCTGTGCAGGTGTGATGAAATATTAATTACAAAGCAAGGGGACCACTCAGCTTTTTCAATTACATATGACTCCTTTTTATTACTCTAACTTTACTGTTTTTAAGTTAGAAATACAACGTTTGGGACTCTATTATGTATACAGAAAAGTAGTTGATGAGAATTTTTCTTAATTAAATTAAACACATCAAAGCTTTCTGTTGAATCACCATCACATGCTTACTTTTCCATTGCAACCACACACACACAAACACACACAGGCCCAAGCATCCATTACAGCAACAGTCATTAGACAAGGTTGATTAAACTTAGTAAATTTCAATGTGACAAACACCTGATCTTTCAGATGCGGGGAATTGAACTGTGCCAGGAAAGATGGAAGCACCATAATCTATTCTACCAGGATCCACTCAGATGTTTTGGGAAGCCATGAGGCATAAAGTAAGACTGTAATGAGGTAAGCTGATTGATAAAGCTAGACATGATGATGACCTACCTCAGCCTCTAAACATTGGCAATTAAAATCAGCACTCTTTCATCTTAATAGTCATAGACACTCTTTTTACTCTTAAGTGTGCTAAATTAAAACTAATACGTCAAAGTGTAACTTCTACTCAACAGTGTTTTTCATCTTGAGTCATTTCTGCATTAGTCTCAACAGCAGGGCCTGTCACATAGAGGTAATCTGATAAGCACTTCTGCTGCGAGTTAAAGTGAGAGCAATAGGAAATGTCTAAAACAGTGATTAAAATAAAATCTCATTCCTGACCGGGATTCTTTGCACATTTTGCTCCTTTTTGTAATTTAAGAACTCAAATACAACAGGAAAATTACCCAGCTGTAGAAATGTTTCAAATCACAGGAGGGTTTCATTTTTAAGTGTATCTATTACATTTTTAATCAAGTAACATCACTGATGCTTGTGCTGTCAAACTGAGTTTTATGGCGGATGTAATTTGGATATAATTCAGTCATGGGCAGGAAGCAACAGGCCAGTTTCTAAAAACCATCCAGAGCATTCATTCAGTACAACGTCACAGCCTTTAGTCTGATATTTATTTGATATGACAGATCTGCAAGCAGCTAGAAAGAAACAGGGAAGAGATTTGACCGATTCCATCAAGCTTTGCAGACACACTAGCATTACACTACTTGAAGAGGACATTTAACCACATAACACATAAAAACATTAGTAACTCAAGAATTACTATACATCTTGCATGTCTACACCCCAAACATCAATCTGCATGTTTCAGTGTCTCGTTCATCATAAACATAAGAGTCTATTTATACTTGCTTTTGTGGCTTGTGTGGTTCTCATACACCTGCTATGTGTTATACTTTATATCTTGTTTGAGTCAATTACTTGGTTGGAACTAAATGTTGCACCGTGAAAAATTCCCTCCACAGACGGCATGATATCTTGAGGCATAAATGCATATTTGGCCACTAGAGAGCAGAAAATTTCATAAATAGCCTGATACACACAACCTGTAATGGGGTTTATAAACTTAATAGGCTTAATGCTTCAACATGCATTTGTGCAAAAATCTCACCTTAGTTGGGTTAATTTTTACAACCAACAGAATTGAATTGAGACACCCTGTTTGAACCATCTGTGATACCTCAAGATTTTTTAACTAGTTTTGGTGGTTGTGGGGATGGTCCAAAGAGGGGTTTAATCGAGGCTGGAATCATTTGATTCAAATTTAGCTCTGACCATGACCTACATGAAGACAAAATGTTAATCAGTTTTCCCTCAGGCAGATCTAAAGCCTTTGTTAAAAAGTTTCCACTGGAGTCCTAATCAGCTGAGCAGTAGAAGAGGTCATTTTCAGATCACTGAAAAATTTCCATCTTGGAATTCATTCACGGCAATATAATACCCTGATTATGAAATGCAACATACTTTGCGTCACAAACAGTTCAACAGGTCAACTTTTCAGTTGTAATCTGAGGTGGTTTGCCCTCCCATGGGCTGTGGATTACTGTATGCTGGTTTCAGGTGGACTGTGCTGTGTATGATGTGCACAGGCAGTGCATTTATAGTAAACACTGGCGTCTGATGTTGCTGCTGATACTCTGGGTCATGTGGTAGATCTAAGCACAACATGTCACACGGCTCTGTCAAAACCACAACAGCTTTTAATACTCTGTGTTCTGAATAAACAGAAAAAAAGACCTGCAGCAACACAGTTTCCCAGCTAATGTGAAAATGGAAAGTTATATCTAATGCAAATGACAGGAGGCAGCATTTAAAAGCTTTAGTATAAGGAGAACACGGTGTCCTTTTTAAATATATTCAGAAAGCTATTTCATTAAAAATGTTCTTTAATTTCTCTCCTCATGTCTGTCTGCTTTTCTGTATCAAGATAGCACAGGGTGACCCTGTTCTCAATTTGCACCTGGCCTTTAACACTCTCAGTATTATACATATGAATGGTGAATGTTGCTCCAACATAAGTACACTGACCTCATTTAAAACCTGCATGGTGTCCATGGGTGTTACAATGGTGGATCGTAGTGACTCACAAGATAGCTTTTAGGGACAAGTATTGTTTCCTACTTTATAAAGTGAAGCACAGTTTTCATCATTCCATTCACAGAGAGGCCTGATTCCCGCTCTCTTTCTCTTCATTGCCTTTTTGGTGATGTATTCCTGTAACAGTAATTAAGCTACCGACAAAAACCTACTTGTTTCCTGTCAGAGTAAAGGGCACATCCACTCCACCATTTACCTCCACCCCACCATTTACCTATCCACTTACCCACCCACACACACACACACACACACACACACACACACACATGCTCTCTGACTAATGTGTGAAGAGCTCCTTCAGGGTGCAGATCCTCATTCCAGTCCAGTAAATAATGGAGTGTGGCTCTCTGCACTCGGAGGTGAAGGAGAGCAGCAACGATCCAGGAAGCTCTCAGTTTTTTTCAAGGTGTTATTGTGTGGTTGAGTTTGAGCTCTTTATGCAAATAGGCAAAATCAGGAATAACAAGGCATGAGCATATCTCAGCAGAACGAGGAAAAGGTTTAATTTAATCAATGGGCCTCACTATTTATTTTTTAAGAGATATATCACTACAAACATGATCATGTAATGTTAATCAGGTTATGAGCACATTGTGTGTTGTTATTCACAGTAACCCAGCATTAATCCACTTTTAACCTGTGTTTATAGATTCTGAATAAAAATGCTGAGGAACATTTTGATGTTTTTCAGCTAGTCTACCTTTCTGCCTTAACCAATGTAAAAAAAAACCCATATGCACTGCTTTTACCACTGCCTCTTCATTTGAATTCTGTTGCATGACACACACAGTCAAATTGTAGTATTAATACAACAAAATGAGATTTTCCATTTTGCAGTGCACTTTTGTCATTAAAGTGACTCCAGTGACCCATTATTTCCAATTTGTTGCATAAACCGATTACATACGCATTGCTCTTTACATTCACATAGTGATAAATGACCTGAAGCGAGATGGACCTTGCATTTTAATTTGCATACAAAACTGGCAGACACCATCCTGAATAATGAAAATTCAATCTAAGTTTTGCATAATTAATGTAGCAGCCTTTGTGCGTTCACATTGGGTCTGCAGCTGTATCCTTTTCTATAAGCCGCGAAACCAAACAGATATAATACAGAAGAAGAGAAGGGAGACAGGCTTTCCTTTAGAAGCTGCCTCATTATTTTAGTAGTGGTACAATATAGCCTGTGACTCATACCATGACATTAAGCCCTGTGCTTTAGTAACATAATCCTTCTCACATGTCTCTGTCCATCTCTGGCAATTGGATCGTTTGAAGATACCTGGGGAGGGATGGAGGGTCCGAGTACAAAGATGGATTGGAATAATAAGTACTGGAGACTACCACAGAAGCTCAAAAAATAAGAAAAAAGTAATGTACCCTAAAAATTTGGTCCAGAACAGCCTCAAACAACGGTAAGTCCTGTGACTTAAAATTTTGCACTCGATCTTCCTGAAGTACATTTGTACAAAAAGCTGTTATATCCTGATAAATCTCACACCCAGACAAACCTCATGAAGGTAGGTGTGCCGTATATGTTCCTATTAGGAAAGATCAGTATTGATGACAAACACAGACCTGCGCAAAGCTACAGACACGTAAGCCACCCCAAGTTCCTCTTCTGAGAGACAAAGAGGCAACTGAATCATCTGTACCTACACGGTGCCAGACAGGTGTTACGATTTCCTGTGCTACGAAGCACTGTGTGAGGATTACCAGGGATTTGAACTGAAAAGCAATTTCACCTGCACTCTTGAGGAAAGCTGGACAGTTGGTCACCTATAT